CAAAGGGGAAGGTGGAAGGGTGGATAAGGGGTGTTACGTATGCCTTCCCCATAACATTGCAGAAAGCGACTGAAATAAATTAATGCGATTTACCGAAGTCCATTTTTCGTACAAGTTGGAGATGCCCCCAAGTAACGGTAAGAATCCTTCATAATTATTTTTCTTCTTGCGAATACTTGCCCTGTGTGTAAATTTTTAACAATATTGGCCAAGTGAAAGAGTTGTGTGATGGTATAGAATACAAATGTAGTATGAATGGGGCTACTCGTGGGCGAGTGTGAATTCACTTAACCACAGCCGCTCATTTAGGCAACTCTAAAAAATTTCTCATCATCACAGCACTAATCCTCGCCACTCAAAAACAAATCACAAAGAATCAGCACCGTGCAATAAATGTAACTGCTCGTAGCTGACAACTTCGACTGTTCTCCTGACAAAAAATCAAAATCAAACACCAAAAGTACCATTATGAAACTTCCATTTCAAAAGACAAAAAAGCAATGGCGCTCCGTTAAGGTTCTAGAAAGTAAAATAGTGTAATGAAGAAATTGAATAATCAGAAACATTACAATTAATGTAATAGTTTATGTTTTATAATTTATTTACATCTGCCACGCTTTGATTACTGTAAGTATGTAGTATCTTATTAAATTTCTCACTACCCTATTCACTGAAAGAATCCTCCCAAATCCCTAAGCTATTTATACAACAACTCCTTTTCACTATGGATTTCCCCCTCGTTAAGCGGCGCGAACTGACAATTTAAACAAGTTCCTTACGTAGACCCACGTTATCTATTTCAACTCTTGCATTTTTTCTATTTTTTCTAATTTGTTTTGGCATACGTAGAGAACGCGAGACATATTTAAGAAAGTCATTTAAACCAGCACTTTGGACCCGTTTACTTGTGGAGGAAATTTCACAGTGGAGAAATGAGGGGTAGTTCGTTTTTTTAAGGGAAATATTTGGTGGGCATATGTAGTAAGCAATACCCACAAAAGTACATAATTATAATAAGCAAGGCGTGGGAGGTTTCCCAGACGAGGCCGCTTAGTCGATAAGAAAAAAAAATAAAGCTTTAAGAAAGTAGTTTCAAAACAAAACATTACTTCTGAACCACCAGACATTGTGATACGATAAGTAACGATGCAGTGGGTCGAAATCAAATTCTTGCAGAACTTACAGGCTGGAATCAAACACGGTCATTTTATTTGGAAAATGACCGCTATTAACTCCAATTGTTCTCGAGTACGAAAAACATTCTGAATAAACCATCATATTGATGTGGAGATCACATATTTGGACGCGGGAAGCATACGCCATCATATACCCAGTCACATACACACAAAAATCACATTGTATGGAACTTAAATTGTGTAATAAAGCACAGGAAGTTAAAATAACGATAAAATAATAATCTAGAATTCGAAATTTGTTTCACATAATATTTATGAGTTTGGCTCGAATTTACGTCTAGCTTATTTTGCTTATTTGTTATATTATATATATATATAATATATAAATTATATTGCAATAAATTAAACACTATTTTGATTAGTGAAAGCTGTCAAGCTATCTCTTTTCGTCTTTCTGAATTTTATAAACTCTCTGGAAAACTTTTCATGTTAACTTCAGATTAATTTTATTTTACACAACTAGTGCTTATTTATATTTTTCACTTGGGAATTTATTTAATAAATATATCGTGGGATATCTGATTTTTCTCTACATAATCCAATTAATTTTAATTTTTGTCTCATATCGTCAAAACAAGTACAAAGTATATTTCACGTAGTTTGCGAACGTCTTGATTCTCGAAATTTTTCCTTCTCTTTTATTCTACCTATGTGAACTATGAATAGAAGTGGTAAATATCAATTTGAATACTCGAAATGTTCACTTTCGAGCGATAGAAAAAGGAAAGTACACAATGCCAGAGGGACCATTTTTCTTGCATTGTGCAGGGGATTATGGGGGTCATCAAACCATATTGAAATGCAGAATCATATATTTCTCTCTACCATTAGTCATGATATTTATAATCAGTTGTTCGCCGCAGCCGAAGAAAGCTTAAATCGACGATTATCGCGTTCGTATTAGGAAAGTGAGTGGTTGATGTTAGAAAGTGTTCTCAGAAAATAAGTTCTTACGTATGCGAACTTGGATATTTCCGAAAGTAAACATTTTTTTGGAATGGAACTACTTCAGCAAATCATTTGATGTCAATTGCGAGTAATTTTAAACATCCTATAAAAGTTTGAGTAGTTATGATAAAAACGTGCCTGTGGGGGTGATTCGTATTATCACAGAGTGACTACTATTGTCCCGAACAATAGATATTTATGTAACAAGTCCTCTAAATTAGTCTTTAAGGACTAATAGAGGAATACAATGATTTTGTTATTTCTAGTTAATCTAGTTACTCAAAATAAACATTTAACACTTTCAGAAGTTAAGACTTGTCATCACTTTCGAAGTTCTGTAGCAGGGTTGTTGGTACAGGGTCTTGGTACGATGCTTTAATAACAATCGCAGTGCGCGGAAGAATCAAAAGTACGAAGGGGGACAAGAGAGACAAAGCGGGGTAAGAAGGACAATGAGGGCATGTCGACAAAATGGGACAATGGAGACAAAATGGACTGAAGTGGAAAAGAGAAGACAGGATTAAAGGGGACAAATTAGACAATGGGTATAATGAGACAAATGGTACAAAATGGGCCAAGGGGATAAAATGAGACATGGAACAAAATATGACTAGGTGACAAAATGGGACAAGGGGACAATGGGACAAAAGGAAAAATTGGGACAAGGGGACAAAATGAGCCAAGGGGACAAACGGAAAATGGGACATGTGGGACTAATAGGACATGGGGGACAAAAGGAACGAAATGAGACAAAAAGAACTAGGGGGGCAAGGGGGACAAAAGGGACATAATTATCCTATCACTTACGACCACTGATAAAATCTAAATCCGAGAATCCGCTAAAATATGTTTAATGGACTCTCAAACATTTTAGCAGCCGTTGCTATGGACGCGCTCTTAAAGATAAGGAGCTAAGCACGTGTGTACCAAAGTAAATAACAAAAAAAATATTGATCCGAATGAGTTTGAATGGTCACATGGTGCTATTTACACACGTAGCAAGAATGGCTGGACATATGAAGAATTCATCGAATGACTCAAACACTTCAAATGCTTAACTTGCCTAACTGCTCAGAACCCAGTGCTGCTGATCTTGGACAACCTTGAGAGGCACATTACTTTAGATACCTTCAATTATTGTCAACAAAATAAATACTGTTTAAGTACTAATGTGTTCATTTTGCTTCATACGTCTTCAGTGACTCCCATTACTCGCGTGTGATGATAATGAGGGTCAAATGCAAATTTTTGGAAATTTGATACTTGGGAGGGTTTTAATGATTTTTTGATTATTTTTTGTGATAAAAACACAAGATTTATAATTAGTCTGTGATATAAAAGTACATACTTGTTCATAGGAACAATTCGTGCTGATTTATATTGAAGAAACAAAAAGGGACCCCATTCCCCCGCTTCCCCTACATTTCTAGTTTAAATTATTTTCATAGAAGTAATCAATTCATTTAGGTTTTTAGTTGTCAACTCAGTATTCATTAAATAAGTAAAAAAATATATCTTTACAAAATTCTACATTTTTTTGAAAAGAGTTCTAAATGTTATTTAACTATTTTTGTATATGAATATGTTAAAATTTTAAATTTTCCTTTATAGATTTATGTAACCTTACCTGAATATGACTATGGAACAATTGTGGAAATGTCGTGAATGCAATGTACTTCAATAAATATGACTTTTATTTGAAATATACAATAAATTTTTGCTTTAATAATTGTCTTGAATGAACCTAAGATACATATTTAATTGAGTGTCACCTTACCTTCAATGTTCCGGGTGAATAAGATGGGGATACCTAGCTGACAAGCTAGTGTCGAAAATCCTGTCACCGTCGGGACTTAAGCCTTAGACATCCCGGTCAGAGAGCCTGCAGTGACATCAGTTGATGCCATGAGCCATCTTTCTCGGTGCATTTCTACGAAGCAACCAATACCGATCAGGTTTTTCTCCAGTTTCCGTGATCCATTTAGCGAATACTGAGATGGACCCTTGGTTTTCTTCTGGACATTAATGTACATTCACTATGCGCACGTATTGTGGAGCCCTCCTTTTGCTTGCGGCAGTAGGAAAGCCAGTAGAGTATAACTGGTGTGGTAACAATGCAAAAGAATCTGCAGCTTGTTTACCGATACAAATAGGTTTTCTATAACTATGGAGAGAAAATATCTAGAAATAGTCTAATTTCGCGCTATTTTAATACTTTTTTATATTGTTTTATTTTATATTTAACTTTTATTAATCTTTCAGCTACAGTTTAAATACTGGGAAGGGATTCTGGAGCTGATACAATATGACATGCTTTTGATTGAGGTGGAGGGCTTCAAATATCACAAAATAGAAAATACTGTCTTGGAGACTTTATCGCGAAGTATCCGTATGGTTAATCTCAGTGTACTGGTGTTTACGGAGAGTCTAGATTTACTTACTGATAATTTATTCAATTACTTTAACGCTGGTTTGTTCAGAATTAATTTAGGGGTCTTTCCCATTTAATTTTTAACTCTTTGTGTAAATTGTTACTCTTGAAACTCTCGAACGTGATATCTATTTCATAATAATAGAACGCCCGAACAAGGCCAACACACAGAAAGTACGTTCAAATCCTATTATATTTTCTCAGAAACGCAAATTTTAAGTATAATTGACAGCGCTTACCGTTTAGGCAATAACACGCTTACTTCGATTTCTATAAAGCTATTTTCTTAATTCAAACGTAGTTACAATATTGCCATTCACATTTTAAGGAAGAGGAACATGAGAGTATTTTTACTTCTCCATACGATTTTTTTCGCGGGACACGTATCACATTTTAAAAAATCCCTAAATGAACAACTTCAATTAGCAATATATTTCCATTTGTTTTTAAATGAAAAGCTCAATATATAAGTCAACATTTAAATTAATAAATTAATTTAGTAAGTAATGAAAGCGTCATTTACATGAATACTTTGAAAATATTTTATTCGGTAGTAAAGGAGTGAACAATGTAACAAACCCACCGCCCATGTATTCTGCGCGCTGTAAATGATCATTACTTTCGTAACACTATAATAGTAAAGGTATTTTATCACATATTCGTAGGTTGTCCTTACACTCATTTTATACTCTGCATCCACCGCATTTTATACTCATTTCATCGTGTCACTTCCATATAGATAACCTTTGTGCAAAATAATGCCATTTCATGGCTCGGATATAATTGGCGAAGTGACAAAATGTGAATTTGACGTTAACGTGTGTAATCTAATTTGGCAACTAATTATATTTACTATCTTTCGCAAAGAGATATTGCGATTATACGCTTTTTTGCAATACTGTTTAGACATATTGGACCCGAAGCACAAACACAAGCTAGAGGGTACACTATATAAATAGAGAGATCGAACTTAAGCAATTAACTTTCCTTGAGTTTTGAATAAGAAATATTTGAAATAGACATAATTGTACTGCAATGGTTAATAAGCAATCCAGCTAATGCAGTTATGGTGTTATAAGTACCCAATCAATCCAATCAATGACCATGAGTTTAACTGTTATATATAAGCTATTTTAAATTCTTATTGAGTCGCCAACGTTTAATAGAGCAGCAAATTACAACGTAACATTTATGTCCGAGAAGCAACGTCATGAACATAAAACTAAAAAAATCGCCGTTTTCCGTCATACTATTACATAACTTTTTCTTCTTACGAAAAAGTTCGTATGGCGAGAAAGTAAAAAGAAGGAAAAGTCCATTTTAAACCATTATTGTTTGGTGTTTTCCTCTTCTGTGTGTTGTAAGTTTTTGTTTATTCACACTGTTTCATTTCAAAGCACTAAACATATTGGTAAACCAAGTCAAATTCTCATTTTATTCATGAAATCTATTGTTTGGAATCTGCACCTCCAGTTGTAAGGAAATATGTTTGTTTTTTTCTCTCAGGGAAGAAATTTTACCGATTGTCAGTTACTTGGAATAACGAACATAAATTAAAATGCAAATTTTTCATCATCGAAATGATTATTGTGACTTGGCTCAATTGCATTCAATACTTCGTTGTAAATATTTACCTAAACACTTCAAACATTTTTTGAGAAATAATATTACGAGTATTTAGTATTTGTATGGACGTAATGTAATGCACCAATAAATTATTGTTTATTTACCTATAATACAGACATAAGGTTTTAAATAGATCATGTACTTCAGTCAAAATATGTTGAACGGTGTAGAAAATAAACAGATTTCCGTGAAGACAAAAGTGGTGTGTGCAAAACAACTTTAATATGTAGGAAGACTGCAGCTTTATTATTAATTATGAGGTAAACTTAACAAAATTTTACAAAAATTAATTGTGGTCTGTCTACAGGACAATAAGTCAACACAGTGTTCATAATATTAACCAAAACATTTGGGTTTGGCATAAATAATAGGGTCAGAACCGACCACTTTTACTGGGTGATTCGTTCGTTCACAGGTAACCAAGACTCTTCTTATGATGTTGTGACGCTCAATGGCGTCGACGCTTCAGGATTGCGGCAGTCAGTGATGCTAGCGCCAGTAAGTCAGCGCTGAAAACTTTCTACCTAGTGGTCTGAGCTACTAATACAACCTTTCTTTTGTGCTGCTCGAAATGCATACCACAAAGTCGACTTCGTCTGTATGGAAGTAGACAAGAAGCTGGGCGCTTTCTCGACAATACCAGCACTGAACCGACAGTTTTGAAGCTACTTGACTATAACTCTAGGCTTTTGTGGCACGCAGAAAATAATCGTGTCTACTCCCATTGGATATGGCTAAATGTATATAATATACCAATAAACAAAGTGAGATTATGGATGTGGTACTACAGTGAGGTATAACATAGGAACCAATTCAGTTGTGATACATGAGTGGTGTCGACTTACAAGTCGCATTCTCTAACTTTTGTGAGAAGCGACATAATTATTTAGTGCTTGCAGGAGACACTCACACTTAAGGAAATATTAATCACTCTTGTCTTATTTCTTGTAACTTGGTTTTCTTGTGTGCATGTCCTTTGAGTCATACTCTACTAAATATATAGTGAAATTGGTTAAAAAGTACTAGTTCATAAGATTTTCATAGATCAACCACTGCTAGAAGAGGATGCGAACGTGCAAGACTAGACTGTGCAACATCGTTGTATGTAAAGAACTATCCAGATTTTGTTGAGACGAGCGGTAGCCCAATGTATTATTTAATTTAATTTGCATTTACTCTGTAAAAAGTTTGCTTAATAAAATTTGAAAACTTTTCTCACTCCAGTAGAAGAATGTCTAGAGAAAATAGTCACTGAAGATAAGAATGTGATAGAAATAGGACCAGTTTTCTAAAGCACCGTTATAGTTCATACGAATTTCAGTCTCAAGAGAATGTCTTTTGTTAAATACACGACCAATATGTTCTGTCAGGAAAGAGCATTTAATTTTTTGAAACAATTTTTAAATGCAAATTAATAAAACGGAACAGTTTTTTTCAAAGAAAACACGTTTTCCTACCGCCTTTTTCGTTACGCAGAATGGCTGTTGACTTATGAAATCACTTTCCCATGTGTTCTGTCTCCAGATGTTTACACTAAACAGATTACGGGAAACACATAACAAATATTTTCCAACTAAATATACTCTCTAATGGGTTAACATTGAAAACATATATTACCAGCATTCATCCCGTCATGCGCCAATTTCTTCAGGGTAATATTTTCGATTTGTGAACATCTTACTGAAGAAATTATAATATTTAACTTTTCCAATCATACTGGAAATAATATGCGTCTTAATTTTACCAGTTAACACTCATATGATATGGGGAGCAACGACAAACGACAATTATCTGAACGTCGCTCTTTGCAGATACCAACTTTCAGATTTAATTAAACCTAAATCCTTTATCCTAAACCCACCTGACTCGACTTAATATCACACTACGTCAGCACTCCGTGCCCACATCAACATTGGATGGCAAACAGAAGGGGAAGTGACTGTTCTGCTCACATCCGAACTGCTCCATACAGAGCTGGAAAATGAAGCAGACAGCCTGAACTTCCACCACAGCAGGTACTAAGGACAGCGTGCGTATTTAGTAAAACGATACGTAGTCGTGATGACATTTGAATAATATAAGACGACATCGTCACATTTATATACTTTGTAGTACTTAATTGAAATTTTTAATGCTGATGTGGGTCAATTCATCGGTATGGCATTAGCCAAGTTACAGATCTCAGCCGCATATTTTAAATAATTTATTTATCTTAAATTTCCATGGGTAGACTTCCAGCCGTCGTACGCACTGCTTCTTGGCACACGAATCATTAGGCGTACCCGCTTGGAACGAACTAAATAAATGCAGTATTCACGAAAGCGTGTCGATATATTACATCTGGGAGCGTACATCTCCCCTGACAGCTGATAGATTTGAATATCCGAGAAATATTATTTTCATTCTGAATTAAAGAGATCATATCTTTCTAGTAACGTAATTAGCGTACTTAAAACGTTACAAAAATAACACATTTGATTTCCAAATGTGGATGATGAATTGCAACACACATCCTCATTTCCATTTTCTGACAATGAAACAACTATACAGCAGTGATATACCCTACAGCATATAGGGTTGAATATTTAACATATAAGATACATTTATATCTATCATTTGAAAAATATTATACGTATTCATCCATTTTTATATTTGGCTAATTTTTAAAACTTTGGATTACTTAGTGAGAATATATATTTATGACATTTATATACTTAGTAAATGACATTGTTTCCTTTCTTGGCAGCAACGGGGAGTTTCTCTCCTCTTAAGAATGGGTTGCTGTCCTGAAAAATGAAAGACGTTGATACTGTATCAATGTGCATTCATTTACAACTTATACACAAAAACAATACGGTTTCCATAGTCCTCTACGTGAGCATGCTAAAAGGTGCAAAAAAATTTGAAAGCAGCAGTCAATACAAGTCATTAGTTCCTTTTTCTTATTGTGAGCATGCCAAGAAAAATGATTTACAAACCAAACGAGGCAATAGTTTTCAAGATGCTTTTAGACAATGCTTACTGTTGGGAATAAGTTGTGATTGTGGAAGATTATGAGGATAGTCTGTACTGTTCTTTTCAAAAAGATTAAATATTTTGGTCACTTCCCGAATTTTACTAATCCAGTGCTTGTTCATTTTAAATTTATTAAAATGAGAGGATAGTGAATTTGTAATTTCAGGAAAACAATACTTTGAAGAAAGATGATGTATTGAGAAACTGATTTTTGTTATATTCATTTTGCAGGGAACATTTCTCTTTAATTGAATTGAACTGAAGGATATAATTTAGCACGGTAGAATATTCCCTTTTAAATCTACAAGATACAATTTTGTAAATAGGTATCACTGCAAAGAAATGTTTATACATAAATTTTCATCTATAATTACGTAGATATATAAATGTGTAAAACTTCTGATATTAATAATATTGTTTAAGATTATTTTGTATAGAATATGAGTTACAAAATCAGCCGCTAATGTGGTTAACCGTGGCGTAATGAAGGGGTTTTCATTTTTAATACATTTTTGTTATTAGATATAGCATTATTAATTCAGGAACACAGGTTTAAATGATACACGGATCTTCCAGCTTCACTGAAACTCGCTGAACGTGTTAGAACCACAGATACGAAAAAAATTTCGAGTACAACGAATGTTACACACTCCTGTTAAATATTAAAACGTGCTCACGTGATTGGAGTCTCCAGATATAAGAACTATATCCAGTAAGTCCGGCAAAAGTCCGGGAGTGCATGCCGGCACCCAACTGTCTAAAAGAACAAATACAAGTAATTTATAAAGATAATGTGAACGATAATCAACGAGCACATCAAGGAGAAAGAAAATTCTAACTCTGGAGAAGTCTGGAGGAGAGAACATGAAAATATGTAATTCGAGTACATTTTGAGTAAGGAATGGTCTTGACGATGTTTATAATAATAATAATAATAATAAATAAATAATAATAATAATAGTAATAATAATAATAATAATAATAATAATAATAATAATAAGACATAACTCTCAAAAAAGGCAACTCAGTCCTTCGTCGTGTCTCGCATCTTTACATGCATGACTTGAAGCTTTATGCAGACACTGAGAATCTTATGCGACAACTAATTAGTGTGTCGGAGAAATTCACTGACGATGTCAAGATGAAATTCGGTTTGGATAAGTGCAGGAGAGTGAATATCATTCGGGGTCATATGCAAGTTATACATTTGGAAAATGATCATGAACCAAATATTACCTTCATGGAACCCCATGAAGCTTACAAATACCTGGTTTTCCCACAGTCACTCCGAATCACATAAACCGCCAGTAAGAACATACTAACAACTGAAATGTGTAAACAATTGCACGAATTTTTTAAAACTCAATTCTCTGCTAGAAACCTTGTGCAGGCAATCAATTTGTAATTCCAGGGTTGACATACTCCTATGGCATTATGAAATGGAGCAATACCGATCTCGACAATCCAGAGGACAATTCGAACCGCTGTGACTGAACACTGAAAACATCATCACCCATTCAAATATTGAACGTTTTACACTTCTACGATCACAAGGAGGGCGTAGTGTTGTAGGTCTCTTAAATCTATACAGCTTTAAAATTGCATCACTCAGAAGATAATCTCTGAAACATTGTGGGTGACTTCAGCAAGCAGTGAGCGCAGTTAATAATAACTGTAATCCTCTGAACTTGAAAAAGACTGATCCGCGTATTTAGCCAGTCACTGAAACCGAAGGGAAGATAACCTCATGGAAAGCGAAGGCACTGCACGAAAGGTACCCCCATGAGCTGAGTAAACCAGAAGTCGACATCTCTGCGTCGCACGCACCGCTCCAGCATGGGGATCTCTTTCCAGAGACAGAAGCCTTAATGGTAGCTGTTCAGAACCAAGAGGTGCCGACTTTGAACTACAGAAAACACACTGAAGTAAGGTCATGTACAAGTTTTCACAAATTTGACTCCTTTTCGTGTAATTTCACGTGAAAATGCTGGCCAGAAAGTACGTGTTCTTTAGCACCACTCGTTTAATTCCTTCCTATATTTTCTGAGTTGCCCACTTCCCTCCTGACCCAATGACTACTTTTCGCTTTATTCATCTTTTCAACTTTTACTGTCTCGCTACGAGAAAAAGAAACTTATGTAATGCTACGCGCAAAACGGCAGAACGGAATATTCCGCAGAAAAACTCTTATTACAGAGGTCCTCGTAACGAAAAAGTGTATAAATCAAGTTGCTAAATTTAGAAAAAAATCCTGTAACTACTGGTATGATCAGAATCCACGTTTTTGTAGGTTCTTAAAAGCGAACAATCGAATGACGACAAAACGTCTGTTTGTCTGTCTGTCCGTCTGTCTGTTTGTCCGTCTCTGAGCAACGATAGAGGCTCAACCAATCAGCCGAATTTTCCAAAATTGATATTTTCCAATCGATCTGGCTGATGTCGTAGCCCTTAGAATTTGAAACCGATATTTTAATTTTGGGGGTACTTTACATAAAGTCTCTGGGACATTTTTCAAAAACATTGGCTTCATCGTTTTTTATTAAATTTTGTTGTTGGATAGTATAAAGGGCGTTTAAGAAAATTGGTGTAATGGTTTCATTGTAATAGTATGTCTCCTCCTTGGTGTTGCAATTTTCACAAACAGCACTGTAGAATAGTGACTTTTAAAATCTAATGGTATTTTATTGCATTATTTATAACGTTTACAGTTTTCGAAGATTAAGGGATATCAACGAAAATGAAAACCGCACCAGTTTGAGCGTACTTTCAGCGAGGAAAAATATTTCAAGAAAATGTTTGACATGCTTTAGAGATTTTTTTTGTATTTTTCCTTTACTTCGTGAAAAAATACGCGAAAACTACTCGAGTTTTCAAAGCATTGTAAATAACCTTATTGAAATATTTAATTTTTAGAACCAATTTCGTTAAGGAAAAATAACTTTTATAAATATTGTTCTCTTGCAATATAAAATTCTTGGCAATTTTCGAAAATATTGATTTTGCCGAAAATGATATCTTTCCCATTTTTGAGTGTCTTTTTCAGAGACCGTAGAAAAAATGTAAACAACAATAGTGCAGTCAATTTTTTTAATATTTAAAACTAATAAGATTTAAAAATAATCTGCATTAGTTTCAAGCAAAACCTATTGTATTATCTAATCATCTATGTAGTTGTAGGATGAGGCCTAAACAATTTTTTTTACATTTGAAATTTTCGAAAATTCAGAGTTCAGTAGAAAAGTCATCAGCTTAGTATTGTAAAGGAAATAATCTCCACAAAGTTTTTTAAAACTTTGTTTAAAACTTTGTGGAGATTATTTCCTTTACAATACCATGGATTACCACAAGATATCTGCTAGCACCACGGAATTCATCAGCTTAATTTCTGAAGCGTCCTTTGCTTTAAAAAAATCGCGCCATTTTTAGAAAAATGTTAAAATGTCTAATTTCCGAACCTGCTATCTCAAATTTTATAGTTTTCAAATATTTACTTTTCAGCATTTTCGAAAACAGAGCAATAGCCGAAAATGGGACTAGCATCATTATTTTACCGTTCCTTATTACAAATGTGGAGCAAATTTAAAGAAAATTAGTGGTGCTACAGAAAAAAATGATACAAAAACTGTGGAGCCGTTTTTGAGAAAATGGCATTTCAGCGTTCCTGAAAACGCAGAATTGTGAGTGATCGTTTTCACAAAAAAAATTTTGAATTTTTGAGAAACTTTATATGAAATCATTTAAAGCACATTTACTCGTAAAGCAATAATGTGAACAAATCGCTGCTAATGCAAATAGTATCGACATGAGAGAATAGTCAAAACTAGTGGTGCTACAGAATGGCACAGACTTCCCGTATTAGTTTTCTGTTTCCATTGGCTTCGGCTAGCTATTTGAATTTGTTACATACACTTGCCAGCTGCCATCTGTCGCCACGTAAAGTACATTTTTTTGAAATTTTCTTAACTTTTCGTTTGACAAAGAGTATAACGGATAAAATATTTTAAAAATATTAAAGAACACTAAAACCTCGTCTTAAATGACAAATTTCTATGAATAATTTGGAGCCGTTTTTAAGAAAATGCTACAGTAATTCCGAAATTTGAAGCTCTTTTTCACAGAAATGTTTTGAGCTCATAAGTCATTTGAAGCACATTGACTCACAAATACAATAGTGTTTACAAACTGTTGGAATTGTGCATATTAACAACGTGAGAGATATTTCAAAAAAATTAAAAAAACATCCAAAAATTAACTTCACATCGTATTAAAGTGTGCAATTAGAACTATACGTTCGAATAGTTTGAAGGAAAAATTTGGAGCCGTTTTTGAGAAAATGTCATTTGAACGTTTCTGAAAATGCGAACTTTTGAGCTAGTTTTCACACAAAACGGTTGAGTTTTCGAGATAATTTGTCTGACATTATTTAAAGCACATGTACTTATAAATGTAATGATGTGAACAAATCGCTAATGTATGTAAATATTAATGATATGAAAACAAAAAAATAAATTTGTGTAATTTTTTGAAAAAACAAAAGAAAGAGCAAACTGATGTTTATATTATCTTATAGAGAGCATTTATTAAAAGCCCTACCAAAAGTTTAAAGAAATAAATCGGAGCTGTTTTTGAGATAATCTTGTGTTTATGATTTTTTTAAATTGTACATATTGCAGTCAATATTGAGCAAAAACTACTCAAATTTTAAAACAATATACATAATATTAATGAAAGAATTAAATATATTGGAAGGAAAAAACATTATTTTCAGTTTTGTAGTTGTAGGATGACACAAAATTTCGCAACTTTTAAAAATATAGAGCTAACAGTGAAAATCGGACCTATGCTACCTTTATAAGTGTATTTTACACTATTCTAACAAGAAATGTAAAGAAAACAATTGGAGGCCTTCTTGAGAAAATTTTGAAAATGTACCAGAGGCTTCATGTAAAATACCCACAAATTTTGAAGTAAGTATTTCAAAATCTTAACCATTTGATTCGAGCCAGGTCGAATGGGGAATATTCATTTTGAAAAAGAAAACACTTTCAATTTCGAGATTTCAACGGAAATACAAGTTTTGGGGTCTCCTGATAGAGAAAAAGTGTTTTTTTCAATACATCCGTCCGTTTCTGAACACAAGTAGAGCCTAAACCATATGTAGGATCTTTTTGAAAATGGATATTCCCCAGTTGATCTGGCTCCGTTAATTTGTATGTATATGGGTAACCATAAATTAGAGCTCTTTTTGACAAAAAAATGCCTATTTTTAGCGCAAAATTACACGGAAACTAATCATATTTTCAAAAAATTGAACATGAATTTATTTAAAGATCCGTCTTAAAGGAAGTGATTTCATTAAGAAAAATCTCAATCTTTAATATTATGGTTGTAGAACCAGTCAGATGGCTGAGATCGTTAGGGCAGTAGTGTTGTGGCGGTCTCGGACCATACGACCGCTGGTTGGAGTTTCGCCTCGGGCATTTGCGTATATATATATATATATATATATATATATATATATATATATATATATATATATACGCAACGAAGAACGTTTCTGGAATTAGAACAATTAAAATGATCACCAATTATAAATTAAAATAAAGTACTGGAGTTGATCAGCGCAGTAACGCCGCCGCCGCCACCAACGGTCAAATCGGGTGGGAAACGGCGAGGCGAGCGACGGTTAGTGGTGCGCGGAGAGGCCTCGAGTGAAGCACGGCCGGGGCAGTGTTGCGTCCATGAGATTTATTGTCGTTGTTTAGTGCAGTTCGAACTGAGTGTGGCCGCTGAATGTGGAACCAGGTTTGATAAGGATTAACAGTCAGATGATTAGGGGAAGTAGAATTGCGCACCAGAACTGATAAAAAACCAATAAGACAGGAAATCGTGCGGCCGGTGGGCTGGTGTTATAATCCCGCCCCTGGTATAATATAACAGTGGGCAGCGCTTACGGACATTCGCGCGAAGTTGAGAAAGGTTGCTGAAAAGACTAGACTAGACCGACGAACATCAATCACGCGTCGTGCGTTCCAGTACCCGTGAGACATTGTTCACACTGGCTGGGGTGGACCCCGGCGAATTCATCGGCCGTTACGGTGGGGCCAGAGGAGTTGGTCGCCAGGGAGGGCGAATTCCCGGCGGACTTCGGGGCAAGCCGAAGCTTGCCGAAGACACCGCCGCCGTTGCCACGACGGCCCCAGTCGCCTCCAGAGGAAGCAGGTTTGTTTTTAAAACATCGAGGTAGCGTTGACCGTGCGCTGTTTCCAAGGCCTGCGCATTGCGATTTGTAAATAGTATTTGTAAAGTGTGCTCTCTGATCATTAAAATATTTAGATGTGCAAAATAATCTATAATGATTATCTTCCTATGCTGCGCCAAATTCCTGGAGACCCATTCACGAAAATGTACCTGTCCCTTGCATAATTTTTTAATCGTGAAAGTACCGCTTCCCAGGTACGTCACAATATATTTACCGTCCTTCCATCTCTCACTATCTCACCATCTCATCATCATCGATTTTCCGATATCCAGGAGCAATAAAACATGGATTCTAGCTACACCACGTGTTAGAGGACTTTTGTGTGTAAATTTAAATGACGAATTATCCGCTTTTTCGTTGCCAAGGCGGGCAATAAGCGTTTTCTGGCGAGAATTTGCCGGTTTCTGGCGCACGATTTATAACTTTCTCGTCCTACGAAGTATTCGTCAGTCGAGAAAGTAAAACGCGGGAATACTGTAATGAGAATGCTGTTGTTAAATATTTTAATAGATAGCATGATTTTATTGGCTAGTACTTTATATGAAGTCCCAACGAAATTTTGAAAATTTACTAAATCATGCCTCCAACAATATATTTCAATTTTTTTCCGAGATGGAGAAAAGTATACGATCGAGTTCGACGTTCGTTAAAGTCTCTAAATTTTCAAATATTGTAATTGTTTAATTTTTACGTGCCTTCTGACAACTACTATATTGAAATCAGAGATGTTGACTCTCAATTAAATCTATTATTCCAAAGAGGATCTGTAAATAACATCATGTACTTTTTTTTACAAAATATGTGAATTTTCCTGTAATTTAGCTTGAGGTAGAGGCAATTTTAAAACAAGATTTTCTCAGTAACTGCTGCAAATTTTGTTTGAACTCTTGCAATGTTTACAGTTCAATGCACATAATAAGTAGATATAGACGTTACCTTGACGCAATCTTTTAATCATTTAAAATTTCTGGAAATCCATGTTCCGATCGTATTTTATTACATAACTTCAACAAATAATGCGACAAAGAACGTTCTGTTGTAGCAGCATTTGTTTCCTATTGTATTTATTCTAAGTAGAGACCGGAAGTGAGGCTGAATAATCATATATTTATATTACAGATATAAACATAATATATTTATATCATGGAAATAGTGTTTTTGCAGAAAATGTAATTTTGTCAGTTTCTGCCCAGTAAAAATGTCTATTAACCGTCTAAAAAATGCCTATTATTTACTTCCTAATACACAGACTTCCAAAGACAGCTGAAGACTCCTTTATGCAGTATGCTTATTTCTCTTCTTTTATTTACAACTGTTTAAAAATATTCAGTATTTAAAAATAGATAATCTATACAAAATCAATACAAAAATATCTGAAAATTGCAAATTTAGTGAAAATGATGGTGATTCTCATTGGTTGAGTTTGGTCACAGAGATTATACGACATACAATGCTTAATAAAAAATTAAGAAATAAAAACACAAAATCACGTATTGTAAACTTATAAGTTAATATTTTTCATTAAACAAAATTTTGTTGAGTGACGTTTATGAATATGAATTAATAGTAATCATGACAGAAAACTCGTGGTTAACATGAATTTAAATAATGATATGAATACAAAATATATAATAGCACTAGAAATCCCCCGGCGCGTGTTTTCTAATAACGCCTCATTATGATTTCTTTCTTTCAGACTCTCCCAGGTGAATCAGGCTGCAGGCTACGAGAAAAATGAGACTGTATTCTTTTTTGTGATGCAGTCTTTTAGCTCTTTAAGAGGTGGAAACTGTTTGAACTTTTATTCATCCTAACATTGGAGCTCTATTTACTCTTATGCCGCAATGAAGTCAATTTTCCAAACACGTACATTCGAAAAAAAAATGCATACATTCTTTGAGTCTTAAATAGTTTGACTTTTCTGATATTGATATAAAACAAATGCAATGAAATGGTCAAGTTCAGGGACGAATTTAAGAGGACCTCTTCCCCCTAAAAGTTGGCAAAAGAGAAGAAACAACAGAATGTAAAGCATTTCCTATTTGTGCAAAAATATTTCTTTGTGTAGTGTCGAGGAAACTGTAAGTATAGGAAGAAAAATATAAAGAGCTGAAACAAACTTTCTTGTCACTCCTACCCTTCTAACAGTTCGACTAGTAGTGGGAAATAGTAAGAGCATTCTCTAAAATTATACAAGCTAAAGAAAAGATAATTACTCTTCAGTTGAATGAAGCATGTTCTAAATCGTGCAAAAGGATAAAAGCTAAGAAGTGCAATTTGGCAAATATTGCTCTAAAAGTTACCCATCTATTGATTATTTAGTAGACAATAAACGATTTACTTCACAGAAATCTAAAATGTTTGCAACCCAGAAGCATAAAAAAATTATAAATAGATGTTTTCGTACCTTCTTTACATGAAACTTCTTGGCCACCAAACTCTTGTGTTGATCTTCAACCTGTAAAACGTTACAAAATTTATTAAAAATGAATAAAACTGAATTAACTCTAGTTATAGTTTGGCTAGCCTAAATCGCCAATCGATGGTATATTACCAACGAAGAACAACTATCACCCACCATAATCAAATCTCTAAAAAGTTTAATTTTTAATAATCAAACACTCACAAGTGACACAAATCGCAAATTTTAATGTAGTTTTATCGAAGAATACTAAAAACGTTACATGACGTATGGGCGAGAAATATAAGGAGTTTAAGAAACAAATTCTATATTCTTTGATGTAAAAACTCCGATCAACTTATAGAAACAATCGAAGAGAGACAGACCCTGAATACGAGTTCTCTCATCAACTAGTATCAAAATATCGCATAGAAATATAACTGGAGAACAAACTGCTCTCATACAATAATTATTAATTTATATCTTGAGTATTTCGTTCGGAGTGTTAGAAATCATTCTGGAATAATGATAAACAATGTGGAATACAAATGATGATTCTCATGCTTTCATCGTATAGTAAAATGATTTGTGATTGCGTTTTTGCTCTTTAATACCAAAAGAGGCAAGCGTGCAAAATAAAACTGGTGGTATTGCAACATACATTCTTACATTATAACGGCAACTCAGTAGTATAATGCAACATAAACCTTCAAAAGTGTTTCCAACCAGCAATATTCCTTTCCTCCGTGCTGGGCTTTGGACTCAGGTTCTTGTAGTTAGCCCGACAATTCCGTTACCGCAAACAAAGATATACTCAACCTTCCTGACGTTTAAAAGTAGTGTGCTAAACAGCCCATACTTCCTAGAATTGTTTCTAAGTTTTGCAATTTTGAATATTCAGAGAGAGCAACGAAAATGAGACTAGCACCACTTCAAGCGTTGATTACGTTATCCGAAGAAGAGTTTAAGTATATTAGTTTAAGTAACAACAGGTGATTCACGTACAAGTTGAGTTTGCCGTCCGAGCGTAGCGAGGATGACAAAGAGACGAGTGCGGAAATCACTTCGACCCCATGTTGCGTATACTATTTTTTTTAACACGCCGTGAGTAAAAGTGTCAAGTAAAGGACTATAACATCAGATAACTAGAAATACCTTACTTCTACAAAAGTATATGGATTCCAGTCAGTGTCGTAACACTACTGTTTGTATATAATAATAAAAGGCGTCAAAAGGAAAGACAATTTTGAATCGCTACAGATGTTTCGCACACACTTCGCGTGTTTCAGATGTTTCGCACGTTTTGAAAAAAATAGCGGTTCCTCACACAGAAAACAATCGTGAAAAACCGCGTTTCGCGCAAAGCGTGTTAAAAAAATGTCGTGCCGTTTTTGAGAACATGTTTACTTTCTCGTTCTTATGAAGGTACTTATTCTTATAAATTGCTTAAACTCGAGGTAAATATTACACGAAAAATAATCGTGTTTTAATATGCTTGACTTAATTTTAAATCGACCTAACTTTAAATCGATCAAAAAAGTTACCTTCAATTTTATTGGAAACTCTAGTTCTTCAAACTTAGTAGAAATTATTTAAAAAATTGCCATCGTAATATCAAATAAAAACTCCTGACTGACCAAACCGACGTTCTCAACCTGGCAAAGAGCATTTTTATGGAAAATAAACCTCTTGCATGCCTTGTCTTCCGCAACTAATGTCGTTGGATTTCATTCAAGAAATATATTTCTTCTTCTTCTTCCTATTATTATTATTATTATTATTATTATTATTATTATTATTATTATTATTATTATTATTATTGTGTCTGAACAATACATTGCGCAAGAAATCGAATGTTCCCAGTAAGATGCTCTTTTGCACTTCCAATTCACTTGAACGACCTAGAAGTTCAGACAAATTCTTATAATTTTCAGGAACAAATCGCAGAGCTCCGATAACTATTGGTATACTGTATTTTTACACCTCATATTAGGTAATAGTACATTTCCTAACTCGTATTTGAGACGTTCCAACGGTACTGAGCAATATCTGAAAAAATAAAACTGTTTAATTGTGTGATCCACAAATCCATACTTTGTAGATACAAAGAGAGGCAATTTTTCCTCCAAATTCCGGATAACAATTCCCAGTTTCGTTACTGCTCTCGTACAATGAGTTTGGATTTGTGGATCATACAATTAAACAGTTTTATTTTTTCTAAAATATGTAAATATTTGATTCTGTTTTCCTGTCTTTTCTCAAACTATCTACGGACTAAATTCTCAATCTCATTGTGCCACTAAGCAGGTGACAGTTGACGAATTACAACAGAATGTCTCCAAAGAATAGGCCGCCCAACATTATTCACGTGTTGTTTTATATAATTTTAACTGCGTAATGAACTGTTGACTGTGTATACAAATATATTACTCGATGTTTCTGCTGTATTCCTAAGCACCGGTTTTGTAAAATATTTGATAGAAGTGTTTGTAAGATAATACGTGTTATAAACGAATATTTTGTTTATGAGAGCGTAGGCTTCCGCGGCCGAAGTCAGTATTTACTAGGCTGTCCAGGTGACGCCGCGTCCATGGCGAACGTGCCGACGTTTCGGTCGCCATTCTGCGACCTTCCCTGCATTACGCTCTGAGGAATTGAATTGAATTGAATATGCCTTATGTGGCGAGATTCGGGCCATCAGGCCCGCTCTTCCGTCTGACCACGCAAATTTCGCTACGCTTCTTTTTTTCCCATATTGCAGAGAAAGAAGGTATTTCTTGGGCGAGAAACAGGCGATTTGAATTTAGCTCAGAGGCGTCATTTAGGCTTCAGGATCTTTTACATGCAAGTAAATCTACGAACATGGGACAACCGGCTTTACTTCCCTTCCGAGGGAAGGCGTACGAAGGATTTTTTCGCCCTTAAAAATCCACGGCTTCGATCGGGTTTGAAGTACCAGTACGCTGTTACACCATCGCCACCGCAGGAAGGTCGCAGAATGGCGACCGAAACGTCGGCACCTTCGCCATGGACGCGGCGTTACCCGGACAGCCTAGTAAATAATATTTGATTTGTGTTTCTTGGACAGTGTACGCGTAAGTTTTTGGAAAATCATTTTTTGTGAGTTTATTGCTGCTGACCACTCGTATTTCTTATTTCTACTACTTGCTCGGCTGTGTATAAGCAATCCGGTGTTTCGTGATTTCCTACTAGCCTTAGAAATATGAAGCTTATTTTCCTTATCCAATGCCTTTAAGACGATATCAATAGATTTCGGGATCTTTGTTATCCAATCGTGAGGTTAACTGCCTTCTGGTAATTAATCCAGGGCATGTTCCTATCTTTTGCTTCGTTATTTTATTTTAGATTAATTTGTTTTACTTAATAATTTCTTTACATTACAGAAAAACGTGGAGTTTTTCTGCCCAAGACACAGTTTATCTCCATAATTTTGCTGAGCTGTAGTGAAAATCATAGATTTCATCTTCTCAATAATTGTTGTAGTTTTTCAATCTGGATAGAGTATGGTGATGTCTTTCATTTGCCAGTCCTTTCAATGTACACCAAACAAGATTTCTTTTTTCTGGAACTGTTTGCGGTGCCAGTAAGGTGGCGTCTGCTTAGCTCGAAGGAGTTTTCTTGTACTTGTACACTTTTCCACCATTCTGTTCCATTCCATTGTGAATAACATTACAGATACTATCCCAACTCTTAGCAATCAGTACATATGCTGCAACGCAATGGCTAGTGATATATTTGGTATATCTATTTGTTATCAACAACTGTTTGCACTAGGTTGTCACTGGAATTTATTATTGTTATTCCTCTAATTTAGTACTAAAGATGTTATGAGTCGGTTGATTTAACATCTACTCCAGGTTGCAACCAGCGTCCTAAGGAGCAGATGTAAGGCCTGTTGGTGCCTCTACAATACTTTGCGAAAATTGTGGGTCTGTTCAAAATAAAGTAATTTCTGTAATTTCTCAGTCTTTTGAAAGACCTGAGAGTTTAACCAAGTTCTTACACAAATTTTTCGTTACAAATCCCAGAGCTCCGACGACTATCGGTATACTCATGCCCCACTTTCGGCTGATCTCCATTTTTAAACTCTAGAATTTACGGCGTTTCTCTGCCGCCTTGGTTACGTTTACATTGAATGGCACAGCCACATCTACAAGTAGACACGTTTTTTCTCCACATCCCGGTTAACAATATCCGGTTTGTTTGCCCTTTTAATGCGATCAGTTTGAATTTGTTCGTCGTACAATGTTCTACTCAGTCCAACACACGTCACCGGTTTTTGTGAGTTCATACCACTTGCAGCACGTGTTTGAAACTTCCAGTGGGGTACAGATCTGGCAGTGGAGGTGACAATACACCCTGTCGCGTTTTTTCATGTGCTCAATCTTTGCTAGAATTGGACAAGCTGAGACAATATGATCATCGGTCTGTATCTGTTTCTGGTAAAAGCAGTATTAATCACCTCGGAAAATTTTGCGAACATATTATTGTTATTATTATTAGTAATAATATTTCTATAGAAGTAAAATTACTATTAGCATTAAGTACGCTCGGGAAAAGATTGTTGATTTATATTTTCGGTCACTACTAAGGAACGCCTGGAACGGCGCATGCGCTTGCTCTTAGTACCTGGAACTGCTCCATGATGCGATCAATGTCCGATTCGGTGAAATCCGAGGCGGCGGCGGAGGCGGCGGAAGCGGCGGCGGCGGCGGCAGCGGCGGCTGCAGCCGCGTCGCGACCGGTGCCGGCAGGGCAGTCGAACATGTGCTCCGAATCGCACATGCAGTCCTGGGCAGCCTGCGGGCAAAGCACTCCTTGTACTAGGATTTATTTAACTGTGCACTTCGCGTAAATCAGCTGTTCATTGTTTCATCAAGCTGATTTACGTCAAGTGCACGACTAAATAAATCGTACTATAATCCCCGGACCACACACAGCGGTCCGCTGGGCCTCGGTTGGTGTTAAAAATTGACTCTAGCTGCACCCTTGCGAACATTACGCGTTTTGATATTCATTGTTTCAGAAGTGACTTTTTTGTTGTTGTTTTTTCTAACATGACCAACCAGAACGTGCCATCCAACCATGTGCGATCCAGCATTGTATACGTGTATTGTGTTGCATTGTATTGTGTTTGAGTAAATATACCAATATCGCTAAGCAATGAGATTGAATCGGACAGAAAATCATAGTCACTTTCATTTTCTCGTGAAATATTAGTATTATTCCTTCAACATACCTGACGATCCATACTACTAAGTAGACAACTTAATAAAAGCTAGAAATCCCCCAAAAAGTAATAAAAGGCCTTGTATGTAGAATACAATATAAGAAAGATTAATCGGGTGCCCCACATGTACCGCACATGTCTCCCACCATTTCTCCACCTGTCTCCCACAAAACTTATCTGTAGCCTCAAAATTCACGGCGAAGCTCTAGGGCGCATTATTTTTCAATTACGCACGATTGTAATGTGTTCTCTGTATTAAGTTCTCTGCGCCAAAATATGCAAACTTCTAGTTTTCATTGAGGATATATTATTCTTCAAACATTTTCTAGACAACGTATCATTTTAACACTGTTTATGACATGTGATTTGTGACATGTGTGACAATCACATTGTCACACTTGAACATCAGCTAATGTAAACTTTTTCAAATACGTTTTTTGGCGGTCAAGTGTTTAATCTTCTTTAAAACAATAACTCGGTTATATATAATTTTACCTTTGAATGCCTCAAATTGAAATAAATTATCTTTTCTACATTTCAAAAAAATATTTATTTTCTCTTTTTTCTGCATTTGTATGTGAACATGCGATATAAGCTGCTTTTATCATTAATTTAATTATCTGCCTGCAATATATACGAATAATTTTAAAATGCATATACATTTTTTCCAATTTTGTAAGTGTTAAACTCCTACTATGATGAGAAGGAAATACGGTCTTTTCATTTTCGAGTAACGTGGATATTGGTGCTGTCGTGAAAATCTGGCACCGTTACAGGTTCTTGTTCTTCAATTAACCTTCCATAGCTTTTATATTTGGGAGGCTTTTATTTGATGTGTATTAATTATCGATAACGATCTTTAAAATAAAATCAATAATATCGATATCTATTCGTTCGTAACTGATCACCGGATTTTCAGAAAGAAAGTGCTAATATTAACTGCAAATAACACAATGAAATACCTACTGACATTTTACCTACAATCAATTACAAATCATCCCTAAGAACTGACTGAGAACTTGTATTTTAATCGTATATTCAAACCTCACTAGCATATGCACGTCCAATTTGCTTTATTGTTGCCTCAAGTAATACACAACTCCTATAAAAATTCATAATAGATTCTTAGGTAGAATTTAGATAGATTCATAATAGATTCATAACAGAATATTAGATAGACCACCCCGTTTCATTCCTTAATTGCAAATAGACAAAGAATTGAAAATAGTTCCATGTGAATATGTGAACAATCAGAAAGAAGCGACGCACGGTGAGTTACAGTGCTACACTCTCAGGACATACTTGTATAGTTGTAATTGATCACTGTGGTGCAGGACTCGGTGTTCCCCAAGAAAATATACTATAATAGATGAACTTCGCACATGCATTTCCGAACTCCTATACGAATCATAACATTTTTTCTGTATTAGAAGTACTTTCCCTATGTTTTGCCGGTACGTTGTAATACAATTAATGGCTTGCCCAAATTCATCATGTTGCGTTTAAATAAGAACAGTGACTTACCTTAGCAATGAAGAATTTTCAAAATAATTAATAAAATGTCAAAATGCACAAGTACAGTGAAACTATCCAAACCGCATTTTGGCAGATAAATACCGAATTTGAATTTCAACTCTGCCATGTCTTTAGGGGTACACCATCCCTTAACTGTTACAAAAAAAAGCCAGTGTATACAACTATAGACCAAGCATGTTAGAGGCTTCGAAGCACTCACACGACTCCTTGAAGAAACGTAATTTTTTGAACCAAATTTCTGTTAAAATAGGATAAGAATATTGGGTTATCAATGTATTGGAGCTGCTAGAGAGGCTCATTGTCTATTTAACATGCTTGGCCTATAGTTGAATAGCCTGACACATGATTGCATGTATCTGAACTGTTAGAAATGGCGTACGATTAGATATAGTGTAACGCTGATCGGTATCTATCCTAGGACGTACAGCTCTAATCGATCACTGCGGTTATTTGACAGTTGTATGCATTTGTCACTACCATTACTTCAAAATGATCATTTCGGAGATGAGCCACGTTCTCGCCGGGGGATGCGCTTTGCAGTCGTACCTGGAAGTCGCGGCTGAAGACAGCGGTGTTCTCAAAGCGCTCCAAACAGCCGTCTTCGGCGCCGTAGCCGACGGGGCACGGGTTCGGGGGGTTGCAGTAGGCGGGGAGGGCCGCGTCTGTCTTCACCTCCTTTTGGTTCTGCACGGTGCCGTCCGGCTTCAGGTGTTGCTTGCCTTCGCCCGCGCCACCTAGTCCGCCGGCAATTGACAAGAACGACTTATCAGGTTGGGAAGTCCTTCTTTGTGACAGTGATCTCAACGGTTCCCAAAGGTTTTCGGTACGTCAGTGCACTCGTTCACATATTCGTTAGAAGTCTTAGATGGCCAAAGAAAACAGAAATACATCAAAATCTTGTGAATTTGGCTCGCAGTCGGATCTAAAAGAATATACCAAAGCACTCAATACTTGTGCATTAATAGTTATTTACGTAACTAGATCGTAGCTCAGATAATGAACCTTTGGTAAATGAATGAAATGTTGGCGGACGAGGATGGTAGGATCCGAATCCAGCATTTTGAAATGAATTTGCGAAAGACTTTTTACGAGTTGCGCACTTTAATTTTTAGTGCAAATACGTAGAAACACAGTTTTATACTCTGGAATATCTATTTGTTATCAACAACTGTTTGCACTAGTTTGGTTAAACCCTCAGGTCTTTCAAAAGACTGAGAAATTACAGAAATTACTTTATTTTGAACAGACCCACAATTTTCGCAAAGTATTGTAGAGGCACCAACAGGCCTTACATCTGCTCCTTAGGACGCTGGTTGCAACCTGGAGTAGATGTTAAATCAACCGACTCATAACATCTTTAGTACTAAATTAGAGGAATAACAATAATAAATTCCAGTGACAACCTAGTGCAAACAGTTGTTGATAACAAATAGATATACCAGAGTATAAAACTGTGTTTCTACGTATTTGCACTAAAAATTAAAGTGCGCAACTCGTAAAAAGTCTTTCGCAAATTCATTTCAAAATACTAAGCAGCAACCATGCTTATTCAAGTTTCTCAATTGTTTTTGTTTATTTTGCATTACTGCATTGTTTTATATGGCCACAACGTCTTTGAGGTATATATGTTTCAAAATATACTTTTGTACCGCAAAATCACACTCTCCCATCAATTAACAGAGAAGGTAAATGGTATATTACGGGCATGATTTCTGAAAGAAACACTAAACATGAGAATAAAAATATCAACTGAATATTTTTCAGTTGATATTTCAGTCTACTACTGAAGCTCACGCAGCGCTCTTCCTGCTCACTCTCGTGCCGTTACAATATCCCTTAATCAGAATCACAAAAAATAAAAATTACTCAATAAATATCTTATTTAACACATGACAAAATGTATATTATTGGATTCGTCTTCTTACACTCGCCATGGACTAAAAAAATTGAACAGTTTCATTAAAAAAAAAGTTACCTCAATATCTCGTAAAATACAAATGATCAAAAGGAAATGAATGTACGTATTATCTAGCTCCTTTCCTTCATATACTTCTGTGAACATTGCACTGCACTAATTTTAGCCGTGGCAAAATTGCAGGAGATGCTCAAGTTACGTAACTCACCCAACAAAGAGTTTTTTAAGCATTATAATTACGCCCTAAGAGAGCCGAAAGCAACATTTGTTAATGTTAAATTAATATTTTATTTATTTTGAGCTCTGGAAGTTATTATGAGCATATGAAGAAGTGAATTATATGAGAAAATACTATTCATTGTGAATACTGTAATGCAAGGTCAAATCAAACAATTTGGTTGTGCAATGTTTATAGGAGACTACTCGGAGGCAATGAAAAGGCAAAGAAACACAATATGGAAGGAAGTGGAGAGGATATAAAAACAGCCATTGCTACTTCAAAATGAAGGTTTTGAAATATTAAGTACTACATCTGCACGCGTCTAAATCAAGTGCCAAGAAGAATGCCATCTTTAGGCTCCTTTCCAGTGGCGAAAAAATATTCAATGTGAAGTGTTCTCGTAGTCCACAATAGAGCGACACAATTTGTTGCTATTTACAGTGATAAAATGTCGTTTTTTTACTTCAGTCCAAAACGAGAGTGGTCATGACTCTCAGAATCTTGGGTTTTGCACTGCATTCACAGAACCTCTTCCCAACAAACCTCACAGGTAAACCCACACTTCCAGAAGCGTGTAAAGAAGATATTATCAGCAAAATTACTTTAAAATATAGTTTTAAAGAACAGATAACATTAAGTACAAAATATATATCTTCAATATTGTAGTTGTAAGAAGACCGAAAAAATTAACTTTCACAATTTTCAAAAATAACTGGACGTGTGCCATTTTTGCGTTCATTGCTCTACTCGAAAAAGAAAAGAAATATGAGAATTGGAATCGGTCAGGGGATATCAGCTTTGGAGAAAATCGCCTGAATTGTTTAAACTCTAGCGTCAATGACAGACACACGGACGGAGGGATAACCAAACTGACAGAAGGATGGACGGACAAACAGGCGGACAGACTGACAGGAGGGATAGACGTTTCAGCGTCAATCAATTTATCGGTACCAGGTATTCATGGACTACACAACGTGTTAGAGGAAGTAATTTAACAGAGGAAGTAATATTAATTAAGTAATATAGGAACTAGATTTAAATAAATTTTCGACAGCATGTCCCAACTTTACGAGTTTTCAGTCGATTTCTGTCTCAGCATTGCATCTTGACTACACAAGTATGTAGTGAGGCGAAAAAGTAAAGGAGAATCACAATCAAATGCATTTTCACTGAAAATCATTGTTTGTTTTTTTTGTTATTTCACCGGAGTTCCTGGGTATCTAACGACACAATAGGCCAAACGATGGCCCAAAGCTTTATAGTTTTCTTTTAATATCTGTAGGCATTGAAAATCAGTAATACTGATAATAATATTCTGCTATTTAGATTTAAGAACGTTCATGTTTGATCAGTTACATGTACGATTATACATTGCATTGTAAGAAATGCTTCTTCAACCATAGTATTATCTGCATTGATTCAGAGAATATTGGGAAGAAAGAAAAAAGCAGCGATATTAAGTGGCAGTGACGGGAACTGATGCTGAAGAAATTGCTTGCATTTGTGTATATTAGATTTTTGAAGCATAAAAGTATAGTATACAGCGATTTTTTTTATCTTTAGCTTGATCTTACGTTACGACGAATCGAATGAACTACTTCGCACTTTTCCAAGCGCAATGATTCTCTCATAATTTCATCCTGTCCTGCCCTTTGGCAGGACAGCCCGATATAGGCCTTGGCCGACCAGCGGTGACCTAGCCTCTCGATCATGGGATGTGGGGTTGGTGCGGTTACCACGAAGACATCCCTCCCTCGTATATACTGGTCTTCATAACCTTAGGGCGTGTTTCCACATCGTCACACAGCAATAGATACTGGGACATATGTAAGGAAAGTGCACAGGTATAATTTTGCGCCGGACGGGAATCGAATCCGCGGTTGCACCGTGGAGAGCGAGCACGCTAACTAACGAACCACTGAGGGCTTCATTATTTCATCTAATTGCAGGAATTTTATACATGCTGAATCATTTGACGTTAAAAATATTTTCTTCGTATTCTCTAATAGATGGGGAAATGTGTATGTTTATTGCTGAGAAACTCATTGTTACTGCACATCAGTTTCTTAACGATTTCTCTTCTTCTATAACAACCAAAATATTGTGCTTCGAAGTGCTGAATATACTTGTACATAGTGACAGAGAAAAATGTATGCCTGCGTACCAACCATTAGTACACTCGCTGCCCGCAAATGAGGCAAAAGTCTGTCCCTGTCACCGAGCTTCGAGTCTTGGAAAGGCCCGGAAAATTTCTTTGATGTACAAGCAGCTACAAAATTGGAAAATTACAAAAAGCACTCTCTAAGGGAGTCCATTCTTCTAAACGAAAACGCTATACAAAATATTAATTTCTAATAAAATGAAGTTCACGCTCGTGTTGTTTTCATCTGAAATGACTCACTCTGTACATTCTACGAGAACGACGGCATATGATACCTGTCATGTACTGATGACCCCAGAGTGAGCTATGTTGCAAGTACTCTTGATCGCGTAGGCTTGGGTTTGGGTTGGCAAGTTCTGCAAGACGATCATAATCCATGGGAAACTGCTGGTCATCTGCTTCCAGATCTTTTACGGCCCGACCTGGGAGTAAAGATCCTAGGGATGGTAACCTGCAACAAAATCACAAGACAATTAGAGAGGATTTTCGCAGGGAGTTAATGAACCATGTAGTTTAAACAGGAGAAAATAAAGTCGACTAAACGCTTGCAATGGTCATCGAGTTTGGCCCTCGACAGCCGCTGACGCACTTAATTTGTGGTTCATGGAATTGAAGTTCAAATTCCGGTTCATGTAAAGTAAAATGAACGAATTCTCTGCAGTTTTTTATTAACTGTTCCAATTTCCTCAGTCCCTCGTGGCACGATTTGCATCATATTTCTGTGCCTTGAGGCGAGACAATGACAAGGGCTTCCTAGTGGTCATTAGGTATACCAAAAAAGTTTACTGTTCACTATGAATCATATGTTGTCTTTTAAATTAAAACCATCTTTACAATATTTATTGCAGTTTTGATATTTATTTGGTGACAACATAAGGTGAAAATTATGTCAGATATCTTATACTTTGTGCCAAATTTATTTGTGCTGCTTGAAATTTTAGGGCCACATGATGGCGCTGGCAGTGGTTTCCTAGTGACAACCAACAGCGGAAGCTTTTCTTTCTAATAGCATGCAATAGCAGCGGACGTAATTTGCCCTTGTGGGCTTCAACTTATGAATGAATTAAAGACGGAGATTTGAGCGTCATGTAAGCTGAGAGCTTTTGAGACGCTTTTATATCGCTCAACATCAAAATTTTCTCTTATTAAAAGAATCCAGACAGTACAGATATGAGTGAAAGATACTGTTTGTAGCGTGACAACAGCTCCTGACGGGGCCAAGGTCAACCAGCGGTGTCCCGGCCTTGGCTGCTTATGGTTCGCAAATGGTTGTTTGTGTTAAATTAAGTGCCAACTATATGCAAGTATTTTTTCGCTCACCAATATTGTATTTGCTCATCATCAGATAACTGATTCAAGAATCCATAGGAAAATAAAGGAGTAAATAGGAACGATTTTCTTATATCGTCGTTCTTTGGTTTGCTATTGGGCAAGGAAGTTTTAGATTTCGTAACCTGGGAAGTCTAACATTCTACACTGCCCTCGTTTTCTAATCAGGATTTCATGGCATCTATGGCTTTATTATGTGATATTTTGATTCTCTGGGTAAATGGATCAAAATTGAAAATCTAAAAACTGATGGCACCTTTAAAATAAGAAATGTTATGTCCTGCAAAATTTCTTTTCTCGCAAACTTTGTCAAATATGGCAAGAGCTAAAAACCATCCGACTTTATAGCATTTTTATGAAACCCCAGCTTTTTTTGAAGCTTTCTTGAATATTGCGATCCAGTGATCAGTGGTAAAAATAAACTGCAATTTAGTCTGTTCATTTTCAACGAAAGCCTTATCTGAATCACAGGGCAAGCGTGTATGTCGTGATGGTGGCATGACGTGTGGCACTGTTCCACACATCCCATCACTGAGAAGTGCCATTGACTATGCCACATTTAAGGAAAGCTGTGGAGTTGGTGAAGCCTCCTTAAGGTCTAATATAACTTGATATTCAGTTTGACTTTCAATAGCTATTTACTTTCCCGTATACGAACGTAAATATGGAGTAATATACATAGTATAATGAAAGTTATGTAATGCTGCTGAAAATCGGTTACGAGATTTCAACGGAAAAATATGTTTTGGAGCCCCTAGATATCGAAAAGGTGTTTTTTTAAACGTCTGTCTGTTCGTTAGTCTGGTGTGTGTGAACACTTTTAGCGCCTAAACAGTGCGAAGAATTCTTTCCAAAATGAAGAAACCCCTGTCTATAGAGAAACATACGCTTATAAAAGATCCATAGGTCCAATATTCACAGTTAACTCTGAATTTTCGAAAATTTTCATAGTATATTTTTTCGGTGTCTTCCAACAACTACAAAATTAAAGATAGAAATTTTTCCTTAAAATAAAATTTGATTCTCATAGGAAGTTCTTTCATAAAGGTAATGTATATTTTTTCAAAAGTTTAGTAGTGTTCGCGCAATATTGCGAGCAAGAGGTGCAATTTGTAAAAAAATACAAAAACAAGATTTCTCAAAAAACAGCTCCAAATTTTTTCTTTAAGATTTTGGTAGTGATAGTGCTAAATGTGCTCTAAAAATGATATAAACGCCATATTGCTATATTCGTTTGTTTTTTCAAAAATTTAAGTTTTTGATTTCTCTCTCATGTCACTAATATTTATATTAGCAGAAATTTGTTCACATTGTCGTATTTATGAGTACATGTGATTTAAATAATATCATATAAAGTTTCTCGAACATAACCGTTTTCTTTAATATGACGTAGAGTTAATCTCGGTGTATTTTTTTGTTTTTTCAAAAATTACACATATGTAATTTTTTTACACATCTCTCACACCGTTGATATACACATTTGCAGCAATTTGTAAATTCTATTGTATTTGTGAGTTAAAGTACTTAAAATTACTTTAAAGTAACGTTTTCGAAAAGACAACAATTTTCCGTGAAAAATAGAATTTCGAATTTACAGTAGCGCTTAAACGCCACTGTTTTAAAAACGGCTCCGAACGAAGATAACATTTCATCAACTATGCAAATAAATCAGCAACTGTTCAGTAACGGTAACACAATTTGGCATAATTTATGTTTAAATTGAAAAAATGCTAATGTAAAATTCAATAATTATTCTTTCAGATCTTATCGTCGTAGTGCGTACCTAGGAACTGTCGCCCCATTAGGCTCCAAGTTTTGAATTTATTGCAATTTGCTCATCGCTGAGAATGCGTTGTCACTGTTCGGGAATATTGTTGTCGCTAAAATAATGTTTTGTACAAAAGAGCGCGATTTAATTTCCTCGCAATTTCATTTACTTCCAACTAATAGACAGTTCAATTCAATTTATACCAAATATTTTTATGTCTCTTGTTGTTTATTATGAAAATAAATTTTTAAAGGCTAATTTTGGGGTAACATTATTCCATTAAACAAATTGGCGAACTCGTCCATACATCTTCTACCACGTAACAATTGGCATTATGTCATATATAAAGACTTAGTTCCCAAAAATTATTATTTTTTGAACATATTTACCTAAAAATCTCAATTTACGTTTTTTTAGTTTCAACTGTATATTTCGCGAAGGCGATGACATGTTCTCGGGGAAGTTCCCCGCCTTTCCACGCCGTGTTGCTTCACTCCACATTCCGATACTTTCCATCAGACATTCACTTCTTATTGTTAGACAAAACATACCATATTTAACTCACCCGGAACATTGACTCAATGCATCGGATTCGTGCTTAGAAGAGCAATAGTGTGTTTTACGCTATGCGACCCTATTTTACCATGACACTTGTATAGCAACCCTTGCTTGGCATCCAATGCTAGTATAATGTTCTCTTCTTTTACATTTCATGCACTCGTATTTTCTTTCTTTCCATCATTCATCCCAGAATTCGAATTTATACGTGTTGTTTTTTTTCTCAACGTGATCTATTTGCATTGAATTGTAGTACATTCTAGTATCAGAAGTAAAAATGAAGCAAGAAATAAATATATTCATATCTACTTGTTTCCATTGCGCATGAAATGATGGGTAATACTCACACGAGACGCATAATTAATAATATAATAAGAGCATGAAAATTATTATCATGTATGAAGCGAAGTTTTTCAAAACGAACGGCAGGCATAAATAATGTTTTAATTAGAAAAATAAGTTCATTCATATCAAGTTCGAAAACCAAAATATATCATTAAAATTGTCATTATTTTCTTGCTAATGGAGTATAATTCTATTGGTACGAAAATATTCAGCAAATACATCCCGTTGTGGTGATATTAAGGAAAAATCTGTAGCACTCCTAAGCATATAGGAATAGATAAACATTCCTAAATCATAACAATGTTACCATTCTTTAGTCTTTACAACATTTCAATTGCACAAAGAATGCAACATTTTCATTAATGGGTGTGCTCAAGAAATAATATCCATTGCGCTGTAAAATAAGAAATTCCAAGTAAAAAATAAAGAGTAAATAGAAACTGGGGCAATTATATTGAACCTAATTCATATGGAAATATCACAACATTACTGTAATGTGCATTTTTCTCTTCGATTTTCCTCTACTGAAACTCACATTACTTTCAAACATGTTATTAAAGACTGGAAATAGTATTGAAGAGACTGATTAATTTCATAATTTGATTTATAATGTTTCTTATACTAGAGATAATGCTGAATATTCTGCCTACATGAAAAAATATATAATTACATCAGCGCGAAAATAAATTGCTGGATAGATCGGCTTGTAATATTAAGAGTGAAGGCTTCTCAAATCTAATCCACCACCATGGCGTGAATTAATATGAATGGTGAGGGAGAGGCTAATAATTTGAGAATATGGGGAAAGCAAGAGGACCCTCCAAAACTCCAATACTAACTCACTACATTCTCGAATAATTAAAAAAAAATCACATACTAACTTGAGTAAGGATTTGAACTGCGAGTTGGAGTTGATTGGATGGTTGTCACTAGATGATCTGTAATTCAATTCTAAAACTGTGAATGCTCTGCTATATATTATTATACCCTCATTATTAAACGTTTCCACAATTGCATTATTTTCAAATGAAATTCATTCTAAAGAAAAATTGAATAATAAATATATCATATCAGTATCCTTAAAATTTACAGACTTCAACTATTAACAAAAATATATAATAAGTACTGAAAATATGTTAAGTTAAATAGCTATGTGAAAATTAAAAGCAATGTTTAGTACGTTAACTTTCGATTTCATTGTATTTTTCTGGACAGTTCATATTTTATTTTAGGAACGTCTCGTTATGATGCTCCATTGTAGAAGAACAGGAATTTTTTCCTTGATTGCAATTATTGCCATACAAAGGTTTTTACCACGATTATTAGACAAATAACAAAATAAATGACTTTTGAAAGGACTTCTTAATAACTGCTTACTTAACACAATGCATATATACAACATTAGAGTCAATATTCTCTTTAATTTAAATGTGAAAGGAGACAGCTTGTAGTACAATTAAACTGAATTAACTGCAAATTATGGGGGATGTAGAGCTGTACTACACCGAATTTTAATTCTGGGAAAGGGATTTGACGTTTTGTCAAGATTGAATATTGTAATCGCGGGGCGGAGATTATTAGAATCTTAATGATAATTTCGAGATCCACTTCTTAAAGAGTTCAATAGAGTTCTTTCTAGATTTGAATATTTCGTATGGACCATGGAAATTTTTATGCACAACAAACTAATTTATTTTGAATTGCCTCGAATTTATAAATTGTGGAATTTGGTTCATCTCTCCAAATTTGGCGAGCATATCGTCGTTGAAGAAACACCGCGTAACTGACACTGACAGTATTTTTTTCTTTTTCGATCCTTGGTGCCCAGAGCCATAACTCTTTCCAATTGACAAAGCCGGAATTGTAAAACTTGTATAACTCATAATAAGTGATAAATTACATGCACCATACTATTAAATGGTACCGGTAATGTCAGGTATGCGAAAAATGCCAAGAAATCAGGGTGTCAAAATGTCAGTTACGTGGTATTGTTTCTTCAACCACGATATGTTAGAGGGTCAGATTATATATTTGAAAAGACATAATGAGGTTTCATTGCTAATGCTCGATGTTTTACTGATAAACGGATACAATGTCAACAAGAACCCCAATTCTAAAGTGGCATGCGTGTCCTTGGTGAGCAGAGTGTCGCGTGGCAGAACCCACCTTGCGCCGGTGTCCGGGAAGTCCAAGTACGCGTCGGCGGCGTCGGCCAAGTCCTTGCCCATGCGATCCACGACCTCGCGCAACAGGGCGTCGGTGAGGAACGGCTCCTGCAACAGCGATCAATGGTTGTGCCGGCGCGCCCCCGTTCCGCTACACCACGCCCGGGCCCGCGCCCGGGCCCGCGCCGCACTGGGGCACGAGGGCGGCCCTACCAGTGTCATGAGACACACACACACACACACCAATGATACACCCATCCCATAGCCGGACCCCAATTTCATTTTGATCGTTTCATTAGTGAAACCGGGCGCGTCAAGTGCTAAGGTGATTAGTGATTTGTGGCGGCGATGGTGTAACGGTTAGCGTAGTGGACTGTTGTACCCAAGTTGGCGGGTTCAAACCCGATCGAAGCCGTGGATTTTTAAGGGCGAAAAAAATCCTTCGTACGCCTTCCTTCGGAGGGGAAGTAAAGCCGGCTGTCCCATGTTTGTAGATTTACTTGCATGTAAAAGATCCTCAAGCCTAAATGACGCCTCTGAGCTAAATTCAAATCGCATGTTTCTCACCCAAGAAATACCTCCTTTCTCTCCTAGTTGGTGAAAGGAGCATAGCGAAATTTGCGTGGTCAGACGGAAGAGCGGGCCTGATGGCCCGAGTATCGCCACGTAAAATAAGGCAAATTCAATTCAATTCAATTAGTCTTTGAGTGTAGTGCATGCTTTCCCCTCGGGTGGCGGACGGACTGGATGGTGATATCCGGCTCTGACCTACCTGTATAAAAACGAGGTTTTCCCTAACCTGGTATCTCCTATCAAAGGGGCACCGCTCTAGTCGGGACAAGCTCTGAGCTCCTGACCTGGTATCCAGGCATGCGATTGATTATTAGATATTCCGAGCACGTCAACTGCCAGGGTCATTAGTCCCGTAGTGCATGCTCTTGCTCGGGAGGTGGTGGTGGCATTTTCCCCGCTGTATGACGAGATCCGGGGCCGATCTACCGTCGGCTAGCGGGGTTATCCCCAACCAGGTATTTCCCACCAGCGGGGAACCGACCCAGCCGAGACAAGTTCTAAGCTCCCGACCGGTCTCCCGAAATATGGGGTAGTGTAGTGTGCCCTGAGCCACTTCTTCCTTTTGCGCAAGCATTTCGCCCTGAGAAAGTTGCAGCATGATGGCCGAAATGTTTTCATGTGCTTTAATGCATGTTATAGACGGGAAGTCATGTTCCTCTCCCGCTTCAACGTGAGATCCGCCGCCGATCATTCATGTCGGTTTGCGGGATTATCCTTCTTCAGTTATCTCCACCCACCGTCATAACCCTGAAAAGTTGTAAGCTTCCTACATGGGTGGTAGTTAGTGGATTAAGTGTGTGTGTGTGTGTATGTGTGTGTGTGTGTAGGTGAGAGGCGTGAAAAAGAATGAGGAAAGGAAAATTGCACGTGGCAAACACTTTTGCGGGTTTAAATAGTATTATATTAATTTATAGTCGTTACAAATAAGGCGAGAAAGTACGTGCTGTGATTGATTTCGATCTAGCAAGCTAGTATCACCGTCGGGGCTCGTACCTCCTGGTCAGAGGCACTGCAGTGACATCAGTTCATGCCCTGATCTACCTCTCCCGGTTCGAAACACAAAATAAAAAATCCTTCAAGGCAAGCGAGTAAATCTTTCAATTGCATATGTATTAATGTATGTTAGCTGGCAGAGAGTCCGCCAACTGTCTTCTAGAATGATCTATTTAGCCTGGACTAGTGTAACCATGCGAAAACAGGCATGCTATCCAGGGCAACTGTCTCTGACAGATAACATTTTGTCACAAATGGAAACAAAATTCGATAAGAATCAACAAAAAAAAAAAACGTTTATGTTTCTTCGGGAACAATTTAAAATTCTAAAAGAAAGACGCTATGGTGAGAGATTGTGTTATTTTGTTGATGTTTCGATCACGCACTACTTATTGGTACACGACAAACAAATGTTCTTCTTCCGATTTCTACTAGAGAACTATTTAAAAAACCTTGACATGTTTATAGACAAAAATTTTTAAATTTACATCATAGTTTTAAATGTGTAAAGAATAACAAATATCCTAAATTTTTTTTAAAACAAAGCCAATGTTAGGGTGAAATTTTATTACGCAATTTAATTGCAGTGTGTGTCTTTCAGCCAACACAATTCACATTAATCCATAATGATTTTTTTTAAATTGCTCACAAGCTTCTTAGTCCCAGTGAGGAAAAGCAATATGAAAAAGGTTTGGATGCACACGCAATAGCAGACAAAGTTCATTTTCATTCCAGTTATTTCGTTTTGTGTGTATTATGCAGTAATCAGTAACAGTCCACTGATTACCGAATTATGCATTTTTGTAGCACACACGAATTACCGCAACCGCCATATAGTATAATATCTGAACAAGATATGCCAAGTTTTTATTTGTACACAATAATATTCTAACAAATTGAATATCACCAATAAAATTCCAAATGTTTTGTTTCACTAATTCTTCCCAAACATTCATTATCAACTACGAGAAAGTTTTCAGGAACACACACTCAGAAACTAGAAATCGGAGAACATGAACACATGTTTGCATACCAAGATGTCATTCATAATTTTTGACAGAGAAGAAATCGAAAAGACGAAAAAGAAGACGACATTTGTCACAATTTGTAAAAGTACAACATCGACTACACGGTTTTGGTCTTCGGTTTGACTTGGATAGTGATATTTGCTTACAAATTGCACAAAAGTGCTTACAAATTCCATTTCAATGTTGTGAAATCTCAGCTGCAACGCCTTTCAGCTCACTTCAAACATCTGCTCATCTGTGGTTTTCCCATTTGTTTCGGATTACGCCATTGCGCCTCAGAGAATGGAAATCACTCCCCTCACTCCACTCCGCGATAACGTGGAGAAACCCTGTATTACTTTCTCTCGGCATATTGCAACAAGGCACAGGGCTAATTTATTTTCTTGGAAACAGTTCGTAACTCCTTCACGATTTAACATGTGTGTTGTTCAAAGCACTTCTACACCTTACCGAAAGAAGTTGTAATTTAATACTTTTATTAAAAAACGAATGTAATATTTTATTTTAACATTCATACATAAAATTCAAGTACAATGTTAATGTGTATCTTTTTTCTTATTTTATGTGTTTATTTAATTTGAAAACGTGTTAATGAAGTATATATTTGTGTAAATGTATGAAAATTAAGTTTGTTTAAAGGAACACAATTTGTAGAATGTTTCAATTATACGTGGAGAAAAAAATGTTAATGTTTTTTTGTTTTTCTCGCGATCTTCATCATATTTTTCTTTTGACAAGTAATACAAGTAAATCAATAAATTGTTGAATTATCAAAATTTATTAATTAAATATTGATTGAGTAATTTATTAATTAAATATTGATTAAATATTGATAAGAAAATCAAAACGCATGTTTTCTGAATTATTTTCTGAATTTTGTGTATGCGATCCGTCCTGCCGAGATATGTAGTTTTTTCAAAACGACGATGAATTTCATTCCAAACTGGATTGCCTGTGTACGGTTTGTACTTAGTATAGAGACGCCACTCAATCACCTTTTTCGACTAACTCACATACTCGTCTACTTTTAGTACCCCTGAAAGTAAATTTTGATTTTCTGCATTGGACCTTTTCTATATGATATTGCCGCAAAATTCTTAATAGGTTTCAACATATCGCACCATATTCTAACATGTGTTGCACTAGTGACATACTATATGCACTTTCTTTATTTCTCGCGATACTGTTCGTCAGAACTTCTTTACATTTTTTAAGTTAGAAATTATAATAATTATAATTAAAAACTAACCTATTTTTCAAAATGTTTGTTTCTATACTTTGTGTAATCATCATTTATAAGTTGTCTTTGTCGTCTGTTTAAATATATTAATTTAAATAATAGGTATCCCATGAAACAACCCATTTTTTCAAAAGTGGTCGATGACAGAAAAAGGTTGGGAATCGCTTGTTCGGGTGCATCCATGACGAAGGGGAATGTGAAAATTCTGACATTGACACATCGATGACGTTTTTCATAGGACGAACACGCGGTTCATGTGATGTGGAACAGAGGTTTTCTCACTGCTTTTCAATGCTGACAGACACTTAACAAGTCTGATTAATACATCTGTATTAGCTTGCGTTAATAGCGTTATAATTGAAATCGATAATAAAATACTGCAATTTACCATTTTAAAATAAACTTACTTCAGGTATCTAGGGGTACAGCAGCAGCTGCACCTACTTTCTTCCATAATTTGTAACTGTTATGCAATATTGTTACACCACATGAACATGCAAAAGTATTTCGGGTGGAGGGGAGGGGCAGACGGACGTTTTGTCGTCACCCAATTTTTCAGTATCAAGTGCCAACAAATATGGATTCTGAATTCATAGTGTTAGAGGAAATAATGTACTACAAAGTAAGTAAGTAGTAAGGCGAGAAAGTAAAAGGTAATTTTAAACTAGGGCGTCCTGATATTAACAAAGCACAATATTAGCAAGAGGCACGAAGTGTTTCTCCAACTAACTGTTGTATCAAAACATCGCCTTACATGATAGTTCGAATTAATGTAGTAGGTGGAAGATTCTGTGAATAAACATAAATGACACTCAGTACTACATTAAATCATTGCACTTAGGGTTATTTCCTTCGAAAGCATATCGTGAGTATGGATAAAATGAAATGCTAATTTCTCAGCACGTAGCTGAATATTAGCCTTCAGAATGCGAATGTAACAGGTGGTAAAGCAGAGTGATTTGCTGGGCCAGGTAGTACGAAAGTCACATAGTATGTCCTCAAAGAGACTTTTGCTTCATCAAGGAACGTTCTCAGAGAATACAAAGAGCCCAATACTAATACTGAGTAGGCATGTTTCCTTGTCGATGGAATGTAATCTTGTTCGACTGAAAATAAACGTCTGCATCTCTCTGATTATACAACGTCACTGACATCTGATAACGAGTATGACGCGGTAGAATACTTCTATACATGGAGTAGCACAACCAAAGTTATTACCACAAATTGACATCGTCACGAACATTCAGACGTTATCGGAGAAGTAGAAACATTTGTTCATTAATAATATCAAAAATATTAATAGTTCTGGAACTGATTTTTTGTGTGAAATACAACCAATTAATGTTTACATCTCAGGTGAATACCTGTAGAATGGCAAGATGGAACAAAAGACTGCAATATTATTTTTAAGTCAACACTAATGCAGGAGAAGACATTCATTGTTGAAACTCTTCCATTTTATTTCCATACTCATCAGTTCATGGAAACAACTCAATCTTCTACCTTAAACGAAATGACAGAAAACATTCACAACATTATTATTATTATTATTATTATTATTATTATTATTATTATTATTATTATTATTATTATTATTAGGAAGAACACTCCCAACTCAAGAAGTCCAGATGAGCTCTGATAAAAGTGAGCTCTATCATTGTATTGCCTCCACCCCTTCAATTGCAATATACTAGTAATATAAGAAACGAATGTATGAATGAGTACTTGCGTCTGCTTTCCCCTTCTAATTTACAAATCGTGTAATTTGTTACTGTTGAAAGAAATACTTCGCTCCCCTTTAACTTCTAGAGCTCCGTCGGAACAGAGCCTTCGGATCACCCAGTGGCCCAGCGCTCGAGCCACAGTATCACGCCTGCCCCGCTCGCTCCGTCACGGGTCATTCTCGCTACTCACCTTGCCATGAGGCATGTAGGCCACGGCGCCGATGATGACAGCCGACATGGTAATTAAGCTTAAGTGTCCCATTGTGCCGCCCCTTCTTGATTGATTTCCTGAGGAAAGAACATACAACACATACGTAATATCCTACTGCGCTCAGCTGCACGCTGTGCCCGGGTCAGGCGAGACATCAAGACACGTGGCTTCCATTGATTGAAAACATTTTTACGTCATGTGGTAAAAAATGTCTTCATTCCAATTAATTAGTGGTAGGAAGAAAATATTTCATTTTAAGTTCCAAAATCGTGAAGTCAATCAGAAGTGTCGGGAAAGATGATCTTTGTAAATGATGGCTTCGGCCCTGGCGGGAATAGAAACGGGATTAACTTTATTGTTACGCAGTGACTGAGAATATAATAATTGGATTGAGAGGTCTGCAGAGTAGCTTGCTTTAAATGGAGATGGAATGTATATTTTTACAGTTTTGCTCATAAATCCATTGAACAACTATGTATAGGTTTTGTTCAAAATGACATTGCGAAAAAAATAATATTTTCTCAGCTCTATAAAATAATTTATTTTCTCATGTAATGCTGACAATTCGTCCAAGATTGTACAACTCTTCAGAGCTTAATATATTATTATATTGAAGGGGTCCACAATGTTGGACGAAACATCGGCGTAACATGAAAAAATTAAATGAGAAGAGAAAATATGAGAACATTATTTGATCAACAAGGTCATTTTTTAGAAATTATATTAATAAACATGCATTCATGTAGGTTATGCAGTTCATGGTCATGTAGGTTAACATGCAGGCATGTTAAGGTCGCAGACAAGTTAACAAGCTCACTAGAGCTCTCGGGTACTACTGCGTCCAAAGGAATAGCGCGAGATTTAAAAGTAAGATTTGTACAAATCTCCGGAGTGGCGGCACGTCACTGGATACCTGGCCCATGACAGTCTCTGGGAGAAGTTATTTGACTGCTATTGTTACAAATTTACCTCTATTAATTCCCATTTTCTCTTTAAGACAAAAAATGATCCATTAAAATGAAATAATACATCAGTCCCATTTCAAATTCCCAATCGAGAGTGAAATTTAAAAAATTGAATCAAAAGAATCATGATTTTGTAATCCTGGTTACTTAAGAGTGATATGAAGTGCATGAACTTTCTACGTTCATGTTAGAAGGTTTAAAAGAACACTATTCTTGTCTGTTAAATGCACAATCCGTCCGTAAGCGAGAATTGTTAATTTATAAAGATTTGTAAATTTATTTCACATAATTGTTAAATAAATAAATAAATAATTGAATGATTAAATAACACAACACAAACCAAAATCAAGGACAGAATTCACCACTCAAATATATTTTTGTCACTTAGGAAATCAGTTGATATACGGGAGAATTTAGTAAGAAAATAAACATCAAATATTAATATGTAGTGAAGAAAATAAAGATAATTCTTGGGTATTTGATTGAAAAAAATCTGGCAATTATAATTTCGTATGAAGCTACTATATACCGCATCTCGCCGCTTCAGTTTGCGCATTTACACCTCTTTCTGGATTTTAAGAGGAAATGCGTGAGGGGTCAGGGGAAGTTGCCTTTGCCCGTAGGAGCGCCAGTCTCTCCAGGCAGGCAAGTTGCTCGCGCGGGCGTTCTTTGACATGCCTGATGTAGATCATAAATAGTCAACATTCTGCTCACGAGCAACCGGTCGCTCAAAGTACCATTCCAGGGAGAGCACGGAAAAGTTATAGTAAGCCGAGATTTTTGTTCATCCACACAACATCAAGAGGTTACCTCCAATTTTGTAAAACTTTGGATACGTTGGAAGAGACAAAAGTCTCATTTTTTTATTTGCTTAGCACATACGTTTTTAAGAAGGGAAATCATTCTCAAACGTGGGAGCATAGTAAGCTAATTGCACTGTTTGGAATAAAAATGAAATATTTTCGAACAAACTAGATTAGAAAGTGTATGTAGCCAAATAAGTGTTAGTGCAATTTAGTTATATTCTGTTCGTTATTTTGAGTGGCTTACTACTCCCAAACAAAAGAAATCCTATTTCAAAAGTCTAAAGAAATAAAATACAAAGGAAAACTCTGAGAAAAATATGTTATACTGCTCTTTAAAAGAACATGAGTTTTTTAGAGGTAACTACCATGAAAGTCATACCGTGATTTTCTTATCGATAAATAATTTTAGACATTAATTCCTAATGGAAATAATATACTAAATGCATGGAAATTTGCAAATATTCTCCATGAACAATACAGAATTTTTTGATATGTGATGATAATACTGTCCCTCTATTACGTCACTGTGACTTTTCATTATGCAGCGACCACAGCATGGCTCGACTGTCGAAGTTGAACTCCAACGGAATATCTTTATTATCGGAGGCGTGACTGGACAATTTCGTTATTTATTATAATATATTTAACTTTTATTCATGAACGTGAACATAAAAATGTTACATTTGAGAACTCGGAGAAGACCAATAATTTCCCAGAAATAAGAAAATATAATCCCCACCCCTTACGTTTTAACAGCCCCAACGTGTGCAGACCTCCGGAGAATGTAGACACACAGCGGCAGCAAGAATGTAGACACACATGTCAAGGCGGTTTAATCCAAAAATACTATGTTCTTCAAGGAGAATTTTCGCAAATTTTCAATTATTTACTTCAAATATATATCAATATTACAAGAAAAGAATATATCAATATTATTTAAAATTACCAAAATCTTTGTTTTCAGAAACATCGTGTTACTTTACACTAGCTAATTCCCCAAACACAGGTTTTTGAAAAAAAGGGAGAAACGGCGATTTTGTACTAGAAGAACCCAGTATTTTTTATGAATTTCTTTGGTAATTTGTTACTTTAGATATATTTTCGAAATCTGATTGTTTACAGTAATTTACTCCACACAATAATGAATAGTAATAAGGGCCAGTGTTATTACAAGAGCACATGTTTTCCCGTGTTATTTGCAAAGCATTTGCAACCTAATTTCATAATATTGCAACTTGTTGGGTCAAACACTTCAGATATGTGTAGACAAGTTTGAGGTTTCAATGAATATAACACTTATGCTATACTTATAACAGAAGAATTTTTATGTTCTTCTTGAGCAAAGGGCAGAAAAAATGAAATACTTCGTAAAAAAAAAAATTAAAATATTAAATCATTAAAAATAATTAAAGATACGTTGGACAGACCGACATACTGGGCAGATGGATTGCCAGACGAATGGACAGATAGACGCACGGAGAGACGAATGGACCGACGGTTGGTCGGATGATGGACGAAAATGCAGACGGTGAGACAAAAAGTCGGATGGACTGACAGAGAAACAGATGGACGGAAAAATGAAGAACGATACGGATAGACGAAACAAAATGACGGACATACTGAAGAAAAGACTGATGGGTGTATGAACGGACAGACTGGCATGCATTTGGACAGATGAACGGACAGACGACCGACTGGAGAGACAGACAGATGGGCGGATAGAGGTGTAGACAGACGGGTGGACGGGCGGGCGGACAGACAGATGGACTGTTGGATGGGTGGACGGGCGGACAGTTGGGTGGACAGACGGGCGGACATACTGACAGATGGATGGATGCATACATGGGCTAATGGACGGACGCACAAATCGGCGGTGAGACGGGTGGGATGACAGAGAGACTGAGGGTCAGACAGACAGAGAAATGGAGAGGCAGTTGGAGAGTTGAAAGGAAATACAGTTACAGAGATACTCGAAGAGGCGGAAGGACAGACGGACGGAGATACTGCAAAGCGAGAGCCATTTTTTGTTGTTTAAAGTAACATCAACATCTAGGTCATTGTCAACACTGTTGCATTTAACGTTATGGTAACTATGAACATATGGTGATGATAGGGCGTGAAAGGACAAACACAATACAACCATGCTCGAGGCGGGATTCGAACCCACGATACTTCGGCCTAAGATTGCTACGGAACTATTACCTTAACTATCTCGGCTATCCGGATCGGCTAAGCCATTTAAAACTGATAAAAATGATAAATGTTATAATGGTCTTTCAGTCATACATTTGCTTTCAACAAAGTGGTACAATGATAATTTATTTATCCCCGGTACTAAATAAGGTATTGATGATTTTGACCTAGGTAAATTCACTCTTCTGGCTTAGACACGCTTGTACTCAATTGCTTAGTAAGAGACGAAATGTATTGTTTTTCATGCAAAAGATTTGAAATTTAAATATTTTGTATCACGTATTTATGCTTATTTATTATTGCATTATTTTGTTCAATATTTTATTTTGAACGTACTAGAAGGATTTTTAACATTCAGCAGGTTGATTTTATTACCTTCACCCTTCAGCAGTTGTATTTTATATTATTTTTATGGGGAAAATATACGTTATTTACTTGAAATAAATTTAATTTGTTTTGACCATAACTTTAATGGGGTTTTTGTTATCAATGACGAAACAATTTTCAGAGCGGGAAGGGGGCAATTTCGGTTCGGATTACTTGTAAATATGTTTGAAAAAATTAAAAGATAACTTGAAATTTTATAAAGTATAATTTTGGAATATTTCTTTGAAATGCGACAATTGTATTAAAAATGTGTAAGTAAAAAATGAGATGGGAATGAAGGCCATTCTTCAAATGACACATACCATCATCTATCTTGTACCCATCAGTTTGTCACTCGCGTATTAACAGAACTGGTCTTTCGAGATTATTGATGAAACCGATAAAATGTCAATGTGAGATGGGTCCTCTCCCCTGAGAACGGGCTGGAAAAGCTGGGAAAAGGGACGAGGGTGGTTGTATACCGTTCAAGTCATCCTGCTGCATCCACTCGGAGTTTGGCATGAGGAGAGGGAAAGGAAGAGACAGAGACAGAGAGAGGGGCAAAGAGACAGACAGACAGAGACAGACAGAGACACACAGACAGAGACAGACGGAGAGAGAGAGAGAGAGAGAGAGAGAGAGAGAGAGAGACGAAGAGACGGAGAGAAAAGGGAGAGGGAATGAGAAAGAGGGAGATGAAGGACAGAATAACGTCTGAAGGGGTTCCGCTAGTAGGATAAAAGATGCAATTTTTAAATATTGTGTCACCGTTACAAATAATTCGAGAAATTGTGTTTTATAGCACCACTAGGTTTGTTCTGATTCCTGATAGACGACAGAGTAATAGAAATTAAATCATTTCGGGTTTCTAGAGTCAGAGACTTCAACATCATTTTGATCATTGATGATTTTTTAAAACGTATTTATCAATTTTAAATTTCAATATGTTAGAAATAAGTCAGTTATCATTTATGAGAAAAAATGTAGTCCCTGACATCCCACGTTTCATTAATTAATACTGAACGTAGCGTCGTATATCTGAAATATTCAGTCAGGTCATGTATCGAGATATGAAAATGTTTTTCAAATGTTTCGAACTGATTATACCAAATTGGTTATCAAATGAAGCGTGGTTGTTCCAAATTGAAGGCACCGAAGATAGCTTAGTGTTAGTTACAGCCACATGCAATTCGAAAAAGGATTTCGGAAATCAATTTCTTTTCCGAAAAAAAAAAATTAAACACAAATAAATGACGCGTCGACCTACACGTCAGTTACCAAGGATTTTCCCTTCAAGGTATCTTCCCCAGCGGGGCACCACGCCAACCGGACAAGCTCTTGCTCCCGGTAGTCTCCCGTCGTGTAAGGTAGTGTAGTGCATATAAGTGTGTGTTTGTGAATAAGGGAGACGATGGAGCAAAGAAGCTATAGAATTGATGGCGCGCAGTCCGGGCAGTGATTGTTAGGGTATTCCAGCACTCCAGCATCCCAGTATTGATCGGGGAAATCACGGTAAACTATCGATCAGAGAATCCGCCCGCTTGAATTATCGTCCAAGCAGCATCTGAATATAATTAATACGAGTACACACTTTTGCAAGGTAAAAATACTTCATCAAAAGTACCGGCCGAGTTTAGCTCAGAATGAGAATTGCCGCTGTTTCTGCAGGGGGGGGTGTACGGTTAGAGTCCCGATGGAGGCGGATTTTTCACTCTGGCTATATTGTTAAGTCCACTTAACAATATAGCTCTATATTGTTACGTCCACTTAACAATACAGCTATAGTGAAAAATCCGCCTCCATCGGGTCTCGAACCCTACAACCTCTCTGCAAAAACAACGGCAATTCTCATTCTGAGCTAAACTCGGCCGGTACTTCCGATAAAGTATTTTTATCTAGCAAAAGATGTGTACTCGTATTAATGATATGCTTTCCAGAACGCTACTGCTACTAAACGTTTAATGTGATATGAGCAAAAGAAGTACTCGTATATGCGAAGATGCAGAAGTACTCTCACATTGGCGAGAGGAGGGATATTATTGGTTGACTGAATAACCATTTGTGCATAAAAATTGCAAAATGAAAAGCAACTGTGAAATAATTCTACTATCAGTAGTTGCTTACGATATTATAATTAATTCAGTTTCAATTTTGAAATACTTAATGATCTTAAGCAAATTAAACCTATTCTTTGATACTTTATTGAAACAAAGCGTAATATAAGTTAATGCAAAGTATAAAGTAGGATATAGAAGTACTTCTCATAATCTGAAATGGTATTAATCGTTCGTTTTACTCCAATCTTTTGTTCTTCGATTTTAGTACCTCTTTCCCCCTCCGACAAATACAGAAACCCGTTGAAATATAAATTCACCTGGTCTGATAAGTTCTTACAATGTGAAATGCTAGGACTTCTAGTACAATATCTTCAATGTTTCAATGGGCTTTAATTTTAAAAGTAATTATTAAACAAAGTTTACTGAAATAAACCTTCATAACACTTATAACCAGGTAATGTTTCATTAACTAAACATTTTTCAAAACTGTTTCAAGAAGAATAATAAAATAAATGTGCTCTACAGTACATCTATAATTAATATGGCTATTTATAGTCACTTTTGGGGTCATTATTATGAATTTTATTATAGTTTTGGAAAATTAATATTTATTAAATTGAATTGAAAAATTATTATAAGTTGAATCGTCTTGTGATTTTTATTTGTTTTCCAGGAAGTTTTGTGTTGAAGGAAAACGGTCCTACAAACTCACAAGACCAGAACAGTTCAACAGGTGTCATGAGGCGGTTGAGTGAACATTACTGAATTCAAATTGCCGTAACCTCTAAATTCAATTTTCCTTTTTTGTTTGTCTGTTAATACTCAAATTTAATCCAGTTTAAATTTTTATGAATATAGAAATATAAAATAAAGAATAAGCAGTGTATTTTAAATTTTCTACCAAATCTTTTAATGAATGTCCATGGGTACATATTTTACAATGTCATTTTGTACATTAAATCAAGCATGTTAATATTAGTGAAGTTACTGTTAGCATAGAAATCGAAATGAGGAAATATAAGATATAAAATACCCTCAAACAATTAGTTTTAAGATGTAATGAAATGGAAAACGTAAATACAAGCAAATATTATTTCAAAGTGATAGTAAATAATGCTTTCAATTTCTACTAGTAATGTTGAGGTGGGTAAACATATGCTGCTGTTTTAACTGGCTTGGAAACAGCTGTTAGGCAGGGCACTTAAAAGTTGGTAAAGCGAGCAATGGATCAGAAGATATTCTAGATGTTTATTAATGTTAAGAAATAGCGGTTTATTCGCATTGTGTTAATACTCGTAACTGAAAAACTTAACATATAAACGTAACAAATTTTTGAAATGATAAATAGAAAACCTTCAATGTCATCTCAGAATGTTATGGTCTGTTGTCATTACAGCGTGGCTTGACGTGAGAAGAAAACAAATATCATCACGAGACACCACTGAAATGACTCACCATTACATTCTTCCAACGGAATCTGTGCTCATCGTCAGGTAAATCTCTGACCAGCTTCCACAACAAAACCCGTACCTTCCTACCACCAACCAAATGTCAAGTGCCTCGAGACATCGCCCCAGCCACACCGAGGATAACATTCAGAAGCAATCTCAGCGTCTGGCCGAGCGATTCTAGGGCAGAAATGGGGCCGGTAGACCTATCACACTGCGAAAGCGCGCGTCCTGCCACGTCGCTTTCGGTGTGACCGGCGAGGACGCTTCGAGGCGCGGGCGCCGAGGACGCGAGGGCACGAGGTCGCGAGGGAGCGTTGCGAAGCGTGCAGGACACGCGCGCGGTGCCCGCGACAGCCAGCGGGAACAGCACGCGCTCGCGAGTCGGCGACACTCACCTAAAAGCCCCGTACACCAGCCGCTGTCCAAGATGGCGCTGCTCGGCCGACCGCGGGTCGTGGGGGCTGTGGGGACTGAAATGCGTGCGATGGGGGGACGGCCGAACGGCGCTAGCGGCGCCCGGGCCTGGGGGATCGATGCGAGCAGCTGCGGCTGGAGCGGGAGGGGGCGGCGGGCTGTGGCGGAGGCGGGGGCGCGGGCGGGGGGAGGTTGCGGGACAGGGCTGGCGGGGAGGCACGGGAGGAGGGGAAGCGCGGGGCGTTCGCCGGGGTCGTCGGCTCCCGGTATCGTTTCGCGGCGCGCGCGAGTGGGCGGGGCGGCTGGGATGGGCAGCGGGTCGTGTAACGCGAGTTGGGGTGCGAGGCGAGGCGGCGGCGGCGGCGTGCGGGGTACCGTGGGCGACGGGGAAGCGCGCAGATGCCCGGGAAGCTGCGTAGGGGGTGCCGGGTCGGGTCGGGTACGGTTGGATCGGTGGGACGGTGGCGTGGGGGGTCGGCGGGGAGCCATGGGCGAGCGACGCGGCAGAGGCGCGGGAAACGGACCTAAGAGACGGCTCTGCTCCCGTTATGGGAAGTTTATTCGATTTTGCTAACGTCGTAAAACTGTTTCCGGTGCACGACATTGGGGAAAGAGATTACTCTCTTGGCCGAAGCAAGAAGCAGTCTCAACGTAAGACGTGTGTTATCAATCGGGTGTATTAACTTCCTTCACGAAACAAATAGAGTAGATCCAAAAACTTGAGAAATGAGTTAGGTAATAATAATAATAATAATAATAATAATAATAATAATAATAATAATAATAATAATAATAATAACAGTAATAATAGTAATTATAGTAAAGAATAGGAAGCACATTATCTTTTTTTCAACAACTTAGTGAATATACTTTTTCAAAAGCTGATTATTTCGGAGTTTTGCTGTTTGTATAAAACAGAACTCCCCTGCGCTTCTATCCGCACACATACTCAATTGAACATGCATTCATCCTTGCCCTCGCATACATCCCATGTTTGCAAATATTCTGAACTTTAAATTAGCATATTTTCTTCTTGTGTTCAAAATAGTATGGAATAATCATATTACCTCGAGTGTGTAAGCCAAAAATACATAAAACGAACGTGCACAAAACGAGTTATCCGTACTTAGGTCTATCCAACCGCCTAGTGAGCAGATGCGTTATATTTCACCATCTAAACCGTCCGTGCAAAGGGTGAAGCTGGGCCGTTAATCTCCTCCGTTGTCCTTGACCCGAAATCCTAGGACTATTTGACAGAGTTTGCTTCAAGGTCCAATGTGTTTAAAGGGGTTGGCCACTAAAGATCAATTCATAATCTTGGAACCAGTTAAGAAACCTAACTACACACTTGCAAGTTGAACTTTATAAGTTCATATAACTGCGATTCATCACAATTCGGTGCAAACACACTATAGAATAAAATAATAAAAACATAATATTCACCTATTTATGCCCAACACTCAACTCCAACGGTTTTTCTTAGCTCAAATATTTTATTTTGTTATTATAATAACCTCGGTAGACCAACATTTTAGACGAAAAATAATGAAAAACTTGGAATTCCTAAACGTTGAAAGTTTATTTCACCGAGTTCGCTAAAGCTTTGTACGTTCTTGGAGAGAGTTTGTTCATGGCTTGCGACTGTTCGAATCTTCCTCTAAAATCGGGCTTAGCTGACCGTGGTTAAGTCAGAGAAAGAACGATGCAAAGCACACAGTGGTTGGTCTGCCATAATTCAACATTAAGCGAGATATGAAGTAAGCGATAAAAGTTGAAAACAGATGCAACGAGATAGCTCCAACAATGTCCTGTGCGCACGGATGCTACGACGACTGTGCGAGACGGATAGCGAAATAAATTCGGACAATAATGGGTTAGTAATAAAAATAAAATCTATCCTAGATTGTGTATGTGATATAATGTAAGACGATGGAATCTTCAGGATAATCAAAGACAATCAAAACACTCGTTTATTTAAAACACAAATATTTTATAACAATCAAATGCAAATGTAATGTTGGTGCAAGAGTTCAACGAAAATGAGACTTGCCTCATTTATTAAACGGTATTTTGTCTATCCCTGAGAACTAATGGTGCTGAAACAGCGTGTATTTTCTTGCCCGTATGTTCACGCAAAATTACGCGAAAAGTACTCAAATTTTCGAAAAATTTTACATGACCTTATTTCAAAATATATCCTTAAGAAACAAATTTCCTTACGGAAAAATCTCTATTTTTAATATTTTAGTTGTAGGAAAAATTCCTACAACTTTTGCAATTTTCGAAAAATTGTGGCTTTAACGAAAATGACACCTGCACTATTCTCTTTAGACTATCAAAAAAAAAGTTAGAGTAATTTTTTTTTTCAAATTTGACCAATGTTCCAGGAGCTTCATGTTAAATACCCCTTAAAATTAAAATATCGGTTACAAATTCAAGGAGCCGCATCAGCCAGATTCATAGAAGTATATCAATTTTAGAGAAAATCGACTGGACGGTTTAGCGGCGAGTGTTGTTTACAGACGGACTGACGGACAATCGGATGGACAGACGGAAGGACAAGCTGTCATTTTGTCATCATTCAATTTTTCGGTATATAGAACTCTCAAAACATAGATTCTGTCTGCAGCACGTGTTAGATAATCCCCCCCCCCGCCTAAATTTAGCAACTGGATTTATGCACTTTTTTGTTACCAGGACCCTGTAATAAGTGATTTCTGCCGATAGTTTTCCGTTTTCGCGCATCATTACATGCGTTCTTTCTACTGCATAGGCGGTAGGGAGAGAGAAAAATTTAAAGAAAAAAATTAGTATCGTTGTTTTCAGAAAAAAGTTTCTGGTATATTAATTGGATTAACTTCCAGCACAAATAACGCGAAATCTACTCGTATCTCCAAAAATTTGTACATTTCTTTTTCAAATATCGTATTTTTTAAAAGAGATTTGATATGAAACAAAAAAAATCTATCTTCGACATCTTCTTGAGTGGTGGTTTGCTGGAGCAAATACTTGGAGCAGATACCTCCATACAACCACGTGTAGGTTGGTTCCAGAACTCATGTTCAAGATTGGAGAAATATCGTTTTAACAAACGGTAAACAAGCAGTAGTTTGTGTGACACACAAGTTGTACAATGGCGAGGAAGGGTCACGATTGCCGTAAAGCGATGCTAGTCGATGGCCAGTGGTTTATTCAGAAACCCTGCTGACTCTAGACATTTCATTTGGACTCCTTATCCCCAAACGTATTTAGTAGAAAACAATCTTTTCAAACTATTTTGAAAATTGGTTAATTAAATTGCGTAGATTTTAATAATACAGCTAGGAACCATCCTTAGTGTGGTCGTTCTTCTTGGTTCTATGAGTATACATTCCTGCAGTATACATCATCTCTGGGCCTTTCTCTACTAAGAGTAGTTTTATTGGCAGCGGTATTTGATCTCAATTCGATTGCAGTGATAAAAAGACAAGGTTTCAGAAGATGATAATCTATTAAAAAGGCATTTCCAATCGAATCGTTTATATGCGCCCTCTCTAGGGATCCCAGCTTCTCCTAGGCGGCTACCTCGTCATCGGCTGTTTTTTCTGACAAGCCCTTAAATCTTGTTCAGAATAGGGCCAGTTGAGTCTCAATGATTTTGCAATCTTTGGTGTCCGTTGCTGAAAATACGGACCTTAGCTCAACCATCTGCAAATAGGATCTGCATATTTTTCTAATCGTAATCATAGGTTCCGCGCAACTCTACAAACGTGTTTGGGGAGCTGCAGCAATCCCAGTCTTCCATCTCTCTTGGCCAGATAGAATAAGCCACCTGCACTACTCATATGCAGATTTAGGAACAGTTTCACTGCCACGCTGATTTGACCGTCCGCTTCCTTGAGCATGACATAGATGGCATGGATAGAACCAAGGTAATGTGGCATTATGTAGGTATGAAGTAATGCCAACTTCTGAGTGGGTTTAAATGTGACTTTTGAAGCCTCGTCACTGCTTCCATTAAATTCGATATGGATGGTTTAGATGGGAAGCCGTTCCAGATAGAGTAGTTCACTCCCAGGTATGTAAGAGTAAGATCATTGATGACAAGGAGAATTCTCTCCCCCCACCTTTCCAGACAGCGGTTCTCAATGAATTAGGATCGTTCAAAAGTTCTAGTTAGAAATGATGAACACTTCGCGACGGACAGTGTCATTCCGAGGGCTCCAAGATATTCCACCACAATACCAACCAATTCTTGAGTTCCCGGGGCATCTTTTGGTAACGGCACCGCACTGTCAGCAAATGCTAGCATGGACACACTCCTTCCCAATAGCGTGTGTCCTGACATACTTTCCACTTTCTCGAGAAGGCACTCCATGATGAGATTAAAAAGGAGTGGGGACAAGGGATCCCCTTGTGTTTACTTCTCTACGATTTGGCACCTCAATTCCTTTAGAGGGGGTGCTGAATCACGGTGGAAACGTCGGCATGAGAGTCCATTACCAAATTGGTAAAGGCGTCGGGGATCCCTTTCCTGGACAGAGCCCACCGTACCGCCGCGTGAGGAATACTGTCAAATGCTTTGCATATATCTATCTCAGCACCTACACCACCCTCTGTTTTTTTTCATGTCACTGACTGCTTCATGAAGAATTAGACAAACAGCCAGGTCCAGGGATAAACCTTTCCTGGCATGGATTGAACTTCACCACGGATCGAATGCGTTTGTCCATAATGCCTCAAACGATTCTGCACAACAGAGAACTAAGTGTGATGGGACGATAGTTAGTGTCAACCGTAATAATCTTTACCCTCTTTTAGTATAAGGATGGTGCGATTAGTTTTCCACTCAGAAGGCACAAAGCCAATGTATAAAATTTGGATGTACAATAGGGACAATATTTCAATTTTTGCTTCTGAGGATATGTGGCTAATTGTTATCTTATCAGGTCCTGTGACCGTAGCATTATAGTGTTAGAGGACGTAATTTACTACTATTTATAGGAACACAAGATTTATCCAC